AAAAAAAAAAAAAAAAAAAAAAAAAAAAAAAAAAAAAAAGAACACCTTTATAGGTGTTATAGGTTCATTTTAAGTGGAAAAATGAATGTAAAGAAAGAGCAAGGATTTATTCTACTGTAATTTTTAAGAACATTGATTTCAATGATTGAATTTGGATTTAGCTTGGAAAATTTGCAGGATATACTGCTTTTCCATGAGGGCTGCAATTCAAACTTATTGTAAGAGTTCAATCTTTAGGCTTGCTTTATCACATTGTAAGCCATAGATCAGTAAATTAATCTGAAGATTTTGACTTTTAAACTTCAGTCTGCAGTGTTTCCATATTAGAATACTTCATGTTAACAGTTTAGAATAAACTTCATAAAATTATTAGAATACTTCATGTTAACATATTAGAATACTTCATGTTAACAGCTTCTTCTCAAGGCTGGTGAATGTGGCTTGAACCATAAGTGAAGAAACTTATTGTAGGATAACGGTGACATTATCTCTTGTAGATTAAACAGTTTGAGAATCTTGTCTCTGATAGTTTTCAAAGAGGTATATGGAGAGCTGGATAAAGACTTTGCACCTCATAGGAGATGACAAAAGATAAAGAGAATCCATTATTTGCATTTTGTATACAGAAACTCAACTGGAATTTCAGTATATGCACTATGCTGACCATTCCTTCCTTGAAATGTTTCAGTTTTCATAAGATGAATTTAGGACTATGTGACAGGTTGCATGCTATCCTTAGAGTTCACTGCCCAACATGGGGCAAATCAATGACATGCAATCACACACAGACTGTACTGCACTTAATACCTTTTATGCCACCTTCAACCCAGTGATTTAAGGTTGTGATGATAGGCTTTCAGGATGTTGAGTTGGAAAGGCTTCTTGCATGTTCCTCATTTTCTATGCAGGTGGGTCTGTGAAATAACAACTTCCTTTTAACGTTCGTAGTAATTTGTGAGTGTCCAGTGTTACCTGTAAAGTTAAGAAAGCTGTAACGTGTTTGTTTTCTTTTTCCACTTACAGGGAAAGTAAAGTAAACCAAACACCTAATTTTTCCATCTCCAGTGTTTTATCAAGGGGCAAAAATCTTACCTGTTTTTTTCCATGTGATGATAATGAAAACAATAAATCATTTCCTTTTTGAGAAGTGAGAATATTTAGCATAGGTATATCTGAGAAGCTCTTCAGCTACTATTTAGAAGTTTTCCTAATTAAAATTGCTCCTCAGTCAGTATAGGCCGTTGTCTCCACTGGGTTACTTGAAACCAATTTCTACCAAGTAAAGATTCTCTAGAAATGTTTGCTGGTAATTTGCAGGATCTAATTAACTAATGTTATTTTTAGCAAACATTTTATTAAGATGTTTCCTTTCCCAGATTAAGTAATAAAGAATTTATTTTCCTCATGTTTCACAGGGGAAATCCTGTGATATCAAAATACATTCTAAATTTAGCTTTACTTGATGCTTGTTGCATAGTATATAGAAAATAATATACTGAATTTGTGTTAATTAGACTACTGTCTAATTAAACAAGCTTTTTTTTTTTCATTCTCTCCTTCCTAGTTTCATGCAATGGATACATTGCATAAACATAACTATGATTTGAGCAGTGCCATCAGTGTTCTGGTGCCACTTGGAGGACCTGTCTTGTGTAGAGATGAAATGGAAGAATGGTCAGCATCAGAAGCCAGTTTGTTTGAAGAGGCATTGGAAAAATATGGAAAGGACTTCAACGATATTCGACAAGACTTTGTAAGTACTGAAGTAGATTACTTCTTTATTCCCATGACATGGGTGAGCATAACTACTTTCTGTAGGTTTTTAAGATTAACTGCAGGAGAAATATATGTAATTAATGTGTATGTTTTATCCACATGAAAGTAAATATTCTTTCTTGTTTGGAGTTCTTCAGAAAGATATTGGCAGAAGATAATCTCCTGGCCAGATAGGGCATCTTGTATGGAAATGTGTTTTGTTTGAGAATTTTATGAGGATTTTACACAGATCTGTAAAAGCTCCAGAAGATTGTCAGAATTTCTTCACAATTTTGAGTGGAATTTATTAGCTGTACACTTTACTCCTCTGGGTTTTTTTGTTTGTTTGTTTGTTTGTTTTTTGTTTTTTTTTTTTTGAAACTCTAAGGTTCCTTTCTACGGTTAGCAGAGAAAAAGTATTCAGATAGCTTTCAAGTCCACTACAGTGAGTAACTTTGACATACCAGATATTCTGGCATTTCTAAAAAGTTTTCCAATACTTTCTAAATAGAGGGTTTTTTTTTAATAAGCATCAGACTACAGGACAGCAAAGCTTTAACTTGCAGCATTCTACTGCAGAGTAATGAAATGAAATGAATTCTGGCACTGATTGCTGAAATTGTTAGTAATGTTTACAATTTTTTCTTGCATGTTTCTTGAAGAATCTCTTTTTCAAGAAAAAGTATTTCCTTTGTTGTACTAAATCATTCAAGTTGGGTTTTGTGAAAAGGGTTAGGATATAAGCCAAAAAAAATTGTGAAGTTTGGATTTAAGATTGAAGCTGAATGAAATATTTTCATGGCAATTTCAGCCTGAGAATTCAAATTTTAGTTTTCTTTGTAGGTGTCACTAATCACTTTTGGAAAGGAAAGTAGTACTATATAGTACAAATATAGTACTATATAGTACTATATAGTGTATGGGACACTGGGAAGAGACTAAACACTAAGCTCTGCTGGAATAAAGCAGATAATTGAATAAAAGTGGGAAGGGAAGGCCATTTTTTTTCTGGAGAACCAACATTTTAACAGGTGTATTATATGTGCGTGCTTAATTGCTTGATTTCTAAGGGAGAAAATTGCATTGTGGACGAAGGAGCTCTCAAATTTGAGATAATGAATGAAAAGGAATATTAAAGAATTCTAGAACCTAAAACAATGCAAACTACACTTGGTTGTTAATTATCATGCAGATAAGTGGGTCCTAAGCTGTAATTATAGAGTAGCTGACTATTATGACTTCTAACTGAATGTCTTGTAATGAATAGTATTTAGCTAAGGCATCTACTGTGTATTTTATTTGCTGTTTATAAGTTGTGACCTAAAGCAACTTGTGATCAAGGAAATCTAAGCCTTTTCTCTGTTATTTATGGAAAAGAAACTTCTGTATAATTTTAATGTGTTATTACACAAAGTTAAATTCTGTTGATTGAAACAGTGCAAGAATATGTTGTAGAAATAGCTTTTTTTTTTTTTTTTTTTTTTTTTTTTTTGTCTTAGTGTTCAAATATAGCTACTTTAGTGAGCTTTGAATCTATTTAAAGTAGCTTAAAATCTATCTGACTTTTATCTCAGGTAGGTTTTTCCTGATACCCTCCCTATTTCATCAAATATTAGTTCCCAAAGCATGGGTGCTTTATTTTCCCTTGCCGTTCTCCCAAAACGTGAGAGATCTAAAGATAGAGTTTTGTAGCCTAAAGAGGGCGCATTAATGATTAGTCAGGAGTAGAGCAGAAATGAATGTGGGATAGTAATCAACTACAGTCCCTTAATTAAAAGAGGAACGGTATCTATCCTTAGTCACTTTTCTTTTAACCTTTGGAAAATTGACATGCCATTTTTAAAGCACCATTAGAAGATGTATTTTACATATTACTTCATACAGTGTTGGTAACTGTGCACACAATCTTGAGATAAAATTTATGTAATTTGAAAGCTCTCCACTGCATTAATCATGTAATCTTGTGAGATACCTTAATTTCTCCAAAGTAAAAGTTAAATATTTTCACTTGCTTTGTAATATTCTAAAGTTGAAGAATGTTAAAAACAATCCTTTATTTTCAAGTAATCATCTTATATAGACCCTTAAGATAAGTTATGGATAATATGAAAAGACTGCATGCTGAGATAGCTGTATATTTCTAGTGCTCAGCAGTTAATTATTCATTAGAATACATTTATTGATTACCAGTTATCATACCTTGTAAGTTAATCTTATATATGTGGGAAAAGCCTAGACAAAGAAGTTAATGCACTGCTAGTCTGTGTGCTGACTTGTTTCAGCACCCGTTTTATATCTAATCCTATGCTGTCTAAGACCTTGAACCTAAGCAGCTTAGTCAGCACCGTGGTGCCACTTTGCAAGCAAGACTGTCCTGGAGTTGATAGCAACGTTGTGAAGAAGAGGGTTATGCCATACTGCTTTGACTCACTACGTACCACAGGAGTTGTCTTCTGAATCAGTCCAGGTTTACAAGGCAAGATGCGGTTGCAGCCCTTATATTATGATTCTTTAAAGGGCAGGCTCATTTACTTTCCAGCAATTAGTAAGAACCAGCACTGTGTGGACATTAATGTTGCAGTTCAAACTTTATACTATAACATTAAATATTAGGAAGCAAAATAATTATTATAAATTAAATGGAATAAAGGAGTTTACCTTTTTTAATAGACCGGAGCAGCTCATTCGTTATCAAATTACTGTCTAGTCTTTGAATAATCATTTTCTTCTGCTATTGACTCATGAGCTGTTAAAGGAGCTAATTTGTTGAGGCTCTGCTGACTTTAAGGAGCTATGTGAATCCTAATCAACCTAAAATTTTTAATTTAATTACAGTTACTTAATTTTCTTGAATTACTTGAATTGCCTCAGTCATAAAATGGGAAAAGAGAGTGAATATTTTGTGTTCTCGAAACATATTTTCCGAAGCAGCATTTTAATTCTTACTTTTTCATGATCATATTTTTTCACAAATTTATGACATTCATATCTCAAAAAATGCCTTGAAAATCTGACTCAAACTATTTACATAAAATAGGAATGAGATTCCAGTATCAAAAAGTCCTGTAAATATGCTGTAAAGTTAACACATTCATTTTAAAATGACTTAGTCCTCTGTTTTTCATGCTGGTCTGAATGGTCCTTTTTTTGCCCCGTAGAAAACTCAGGACTCAAAAATTATCTCTTCCTGGTTTTGTACTGCTTAAAACTCATTGTTATTTTTGTTCTGCAAAAATGTCAGTAAAGTGGTCATTTGTATGTCTTTCAATTAATTTTTTATTATAATTTCATAATGGCAGTACATTATTCTGTATCTGCTTATGGTTTCTGTGGCAGTTAAGAGCGACCTGAGGAAAATTCTTGTGTCTCTACAGTGTGTTATCATTTTGGTTGTGCAAGTAAACAGAATAAAGGCAATTCATGCTCAGTGTGTCAAACAGGTTTTCTGGGATGTGTGACTCAGTGTAAAAAGGATTATGGTTATCCAATTCAACCACCTTAATTATCTTCCATTAATTGCAGTTGCCTATTGAGTGAACAAACATACTCATGTCACAGTCATAGCTGTAGCAGATGGAAGTTCAGAGAAATGGTAAACATATTTTGTGGCATGAATGTATTAGTAGCATAAATGCTGAGGAAAGAAAATAGCTACTGAGAAGTTAAAATGGACTAGTTGGCGACAACAGATAAGGTTTCACCTAGGTGTCATGAAGTACATGGACATGCTGAGAAGCAGCTCACCTGTCAACTCACACCAAAGGTGTGTGTGCTACTCACCAGCCCTTTCTTGGGCAGATTTCTCTTAAGGCATTGTTTACCTGAGAAAGGAAACAAACTTCAGTAAACTGAATTGTGTTACTGTTTCTTTGCAGCATCAATTTATGTATTTGCTGCACTGCTACTTGTTAGTTAAATGCAAACAGCCTTGCCCAGCTCTTGAATGTAGAAATGGGAGCCAAATTCAGTTCGTCCAAGTGTCTGAAAGCAAGCAGAGTGAAAAACTGGCTGTAAGCTCCTGTATGCTGGAAGAGGTAGTTTGATACAGTTTTTCTTCTGGTGCTTTCAGGAACTTATTCTTTTGTCTTAGGACATGGAGAAAGCCCCACTTACTAAAATGAGTAAGATTGCAAAGATAAGCTTTCACAGCATGATTATTATTAGCATTCATGCATGCCTCCATTGAATACTGTGCACAAAATACTAATGTCTTCCCAGGTTATAAGTAAAAATTGCATTAAGTCTGTATGGCTCTTACTAATTTAAGTAATAGAGAATTGATAGAATTGAATCTTTCTGTGAAGTAGATAGTTGGATATTAATTAGAAATAGCTGCTCTGTGCTTAATTTTTTTCCGTAAACCTAGTCTATGAATCTGTGATTTTGGGCTCATAGATTTTCACTTCACTGATAAATTTGTGCACCCAAAATTGTTGAGAAGGTCATAATAGTAATATTCAACTACTCTGATCTTGCTCAGAAATTTTTGTGAAGTACTCTGTTGCTCTTTTGCTCTTATTGTAATTTGTCCCTTTCATCCTTTTGTTTGGTGCTTGATGGTTGAGTATGTAGTGGTTGATGCAGAACCAGCAGTATTGTAAGAGCAGCTGAGCTGTTATGAGACTTGAAAAACCTGTGAATTAAATACTACAACCAGTGTATTTTTTTTTCTTATTTAGAGTAAAACTATTATGAGACTTGAACACAGTCATGTCAAGGTGATTTATTTTAGTCCTGATATCATTCTTAATCTGATGCACTTCATAACAGATTTAACTTTGTGTTTCCTGATGCACCTGCTTTTGTTTTGATCATTTAGTTTAACTGTCTGGCTTACATATCCAAATCCATATGTCATTTATTTCATGCAATTATGCATCTTTATTAATTATAAAGAAAGATTGTTAGTATTAGTAGTACATGCATTTATATACATATGGATTTTTAAGGTAGGTATTTAATGCATAGACGTTTTAAATTTTCTGCATAAGCTATACATGATTTTAAGATGTATTGAATAAAATGTGAATACTGCAATTTCTTGGAACTACTTCAGTTTGTAACATGTTTTTCAGCTCCCTTGGAAGTCGCTGACTAGTATCATCGAATATTACTACATGTGGAAAACTACTGACAGATATGTGCAGCAGGTAATTTAATGGTTATTTCAGCATGAATAATTCTGACACATTCTTTAAAAAAATAAAATAAAAAAATCTCAGCTTGCTAAAGAATAAAAAATCATTTGTGTTCTTAAAAAGACACGTGGCAGGAGGCGTATGGTAATATTTTAGGATGCAGAATACTGGTTTTGTGCTGTTCACACGATGTATTGCCAAATCCTAGAATGCCTACTGTACACTACATAGCTGTGAAGTGCTTTTTAAGCCATGTGGATTGTATGCTCATTTGTAGCAGTATGATTTCTGCATCTTGCTATGGTGTGGAAGAAAGAAATGGGCTAAGGAACAAATGCTGTAGGCTATGAAACTCTGTAAGGAATCAAAGGATAACGAAACAGAGATTGTATTAAATGTGGTTCTTAGTGTTTTGAACATTTTGTTGATACTTCATTTTAAAATATTACTTTGGCATGATCAAGATAGAAAAACAAAGTTGAGAACGTTCCGCACACAATGAATATGTTCATCCTTCTGAATGAATGTTTGAGTCCTCCTGTAAGAGAGGAATGATAATATAATTTTGGATACCTATGCTGGGTTACTTGAGACAGGTATAGGCAAGACTTTAGTGTTAGTACTTTTTATGTATTATACTATTTACCTATTTACTCCTTGATTTAGATATTCAAAATATTTTAAAATACTTTGCTGCAATTCACAGTTTAACATTTTAGTTTGTAGCTCATTCACTTGTATAATTTACATGAAGTACAGAATGTTGAAAATAAATTTTATGCTCTAATGAATGATGACAGCTGTATTGTTAAGTGGATGTCTGGAGTTGTTCCAGATTTTTTTGTTGCCGTATGTCAGAGGATGATTGCTGCAGCTTGCTCTGTGGTTTTAGTTGTTTTTTCTTTCTCTGTGTGTGTGTGTGTGTGTGTGTGTGTGTGTGTGTATTGGGTTGAATTTTTTGTTTCTTTGCTTGATTTGGGATATGAAAAGTAAGGGAAAAGGTGTTTGCTTGTTTCTAATTTTTTTTTTTTAGCCACATAATTGAATTTTGAATTATCTCTAGGATCTTTTAGATAATAGAAAAAGAAAATGATTTGCTCTGCGTTCAAGAATTTTTTTTTCAGTTGTCACTGGAGAATCTTGGAGAATCAGATAAAAAAAAAAAGGCTTTATTGGGACTCTAAGGTTTGGATTAAGGATAAATTGAACTGAAAACTTTGTTTTGTTAGCTGATTTGAGATTGCTCAGAGCTGATCATGTTTCCTGTGAAATTTTTCTGAAACATTTGCTCTGGATTGGTTGGCAAAAGATTCTTGAGGCTCCTTTTCTAAGTTTTTGTAGGGCTTCATTATTGTTCCTCTGCTACAACTGTAAAGATGTGATGCATTGAGCTTGCATAATAAAGGTGTAATGTCCTGACTCAAAACATGGCATGACACCACAGGATTTATCGTTTTAAGCAAGATCTTTTCAAAGTCATGCATGATTATCAGTAATAAACAGTGTAAACCAGATATCTCATTTGTACGCTACCGAACATATCTGTAATCCTCCTTATCAGAGATCAGAACTTCATCCTGATGTTGTTTTGGTTGTTGTGGAATGGTAGAAATAATACAGTTCAGGGAAAAAAAAAAAAAAGGTATCTTTAGGGTGCTATGGGTTTTGTTTTTCGATTTATTTATTTTCCCCTACCAGAACAAGCTGTAATGATTGAATGCATTTCAGGAAGAAAATATGTTCATTAAGAAAGTGGCAATTTTGGAGTCATTCTTCTCTAAATACGGTCCTTGAGGTGTGGAATAGCTTTGAGGAATAGGAAAATGTTGATGTACATTCTTACATATTATACATACATAAAGTATGGACTTTGTGCAGTTTAATATGAAAATTTGCCCTTTAATTGTTTATTTCTTTGCATGAATTGGCTGTGTTGTGTCAGTCGTAATGAATGTTTCTTTGTCATAATAACCTCTAAATGTCACTCATACTTTCTAGCTAGGGATGGTGATTTAATGGTGATGGAGATACTGTTGTCACCTTTAGAGCATGTTCCTTTCAAGTAAAGGTGAAGGGAAATATTTATATTGAAGCCTTCTATCTCTACTGAACCTGTAAAACTAATCCTGGCCTTCAGTAATCATTCTTGGTGACTGCAACATTATATAGCATCTGAGAAAAGCCAGATGACCCATTTCACTCATTGAAATGTTTTCGTATTATTTTCCTCTTGAAGATCTGATTCATTATTCCAGTGTTCTATTATCCTTATTACCCTTACAAACAAGTAGTTGTCATACTAACACTTCCAGCTTCAACTTTCAGACTTTCCCTTCTCAAATTTCTGTTACCTACGTGTGATTTCTCATGATTTTGGAATCTTTTCAGTTTCCTAGCATTTGCTCTCTGCGTTTTAATAGGCAGAAAGTTCATCTCAAATTGCAACTATTGGTTGATGATTTCATTTCTGCATCTTTTCTTCTCTCACAGTATATGAACTCATACTGACTGACCAGCTTTAAAGCTGTGATATTTTCTGTTATTTGTAGGGAACAATGTTAATCATCTTTTTAGTATGTGAAAATACAGTTTATACTGAAGTAACATTGTGGAATTATTATATAGAAGACAATATATGATTCATTTTAGTAAACACACAAGCAAAAGAGTTGTTAAAATTGTATTACTTACAACCACCAGCATTAAAAGTATGATAAAACTCAGTTATGCTGCTGTTCTTTCTTCTTGCTCTTTTTTCTATTGGTAGATGTAATTTATATACACAGTACTTGTTGTTTTTACAGATTTGTTGTCATGTGCTGAAGGATTGTGAGTTTTGCTAGGAAGGACAGCATGCTGTAATTTCAAACCAATAATAAAATAGAACAGCTCTAATTTTTAATGACTTTCGTCTTCTAGATTCCTACACTTTTCCTGGAGTCTTTTGTGGAACTGTGAAATGAAACGCAAATAATTTAAGGTTGGATTATGTGCAGTTTTATGAGTTTGTGTACTTGAAGATAACGAAGTATTTTCATGTGTTGATTTTTCATCTAGAAACGTCTGAAAGCGGCTGAAGCAGAAAGTAAATTGAAACAAGTATACATCCCCACCTAGTGAGTATAACAATAAAGTTCTTTTTTGAATTACTTACAGGTGAAAATGTGAAGTGTATCAACACACATGATATTTCCTTCATATTGTCCTAATACTTTTAACATGTATATGCAAGTAGTACATACACACGCTGAAGTGTAATTGGAAAATGTTGTAAATTCTTTGTCCTTATTTCAACCCATTGGCTTTGACCACCAACCTTTCTGTTCTGGAAAGGCGAAAACTTCTGCAAAAGTTGATCAAGTGCTACACGAACTGCTCACAGGCAAGAAGGATCTTGTCATTTAAAAGCAATTTTTCTGGAGTAGTTGCTTCAGAATCTCTGTAGCTCAACATTTAATATTTGTGTAAATTCAGAATTTTAAAATAGAAGCTGTTGTTAATGTAGTTACATAAAATCAGATACTCACTTTGGTTACGGTTTTATCTTGATATCATCTGTTCTCAAGTTAGAGACAAGATGTTCTGTCTATAAATTAAAGGTAGCACACAACCCCAAATCTTTTGCCTTTGATCAGTTCTTATTAATGAATTCTGTTTTCCTCTGAGAGGTTTGTATTTTAGTTCTTTAGATTTAAACTCAATTCTAGATTTGCTTTCGTTAATGTGTGGCTTATGGAACCAAGATATAATCTCTATTTCATATTTATAATTTCCTTAAGGTTATGATAAGAGAGGGGGTTATAGATGGCATTCTTTACAGGGTTTTGTGGATATATTGAGTTTGTGTGTGAATTTACCCATTAATATCAATGTTTATATAACAGAAGACTAGAATACCAGATAAAATACTTTCAAAATCCATTGTCGCCATTCTGATTGCATGTATAAATTGGATACAATAGAACTTAATTTGCATATTTCATACAGACTTTTTTTCTCTTAAGCGGATTTAATACAAACAACAAAACTATTAATTTCAGTCTTTTAATTTCATTTGTGAAAAAGCATTGTGAGTTTTACAGCTCAAGTCATATTTGCAGCATGGATATTTCTTCACATCGTAGACTAGAGGGTTATGCTGAAAAGTCTTGCATGAGTGTTACATAATTCTCTCAGTGAAGTTGTCAATTTAAAAAAATTGTTAAGGACTAGCTGCATTGTTTGACATAACCTACCTAACCTGAAATACAGATACTTACTTTCAGTTTGGTTTACTACCATCTTTTGACTTACCATCAAGACAAAATCCATAGTCAATTGTTAGAACAGGAATTCTTGAGGCATTGGTAACTGCAATCTGAGGCACATGTAGGTGAACATAGTTCTAACGCTCTATTTCAAGACAAATTTATTGTATTTGAAATCTGAGAGGCATTGATTCTTAGAGCTGAATACCTTTTTGATCTTGTCAGAAGGTACTTCCCTTAGAAGCAAGAATCTCCTCAATAACCAGAGTCCCTTTCAATTCCTGGTTGCTCTGGAAGGTAACTGAGCAAGAGATATTCAAGTAAAAAGAGACTTAACTACCTCTTGATCTTCCTTGTGTCTTTATATCAGTATGCTTCTCTGAAGTACCTTTTGGAAAGATACTTGATAAAGAGTATTTGGAAATTGGAAAGAGTGTCTTACTGGATATAATACACCATAGAGGAGTGGTGAAGTTCTTCAGTCCTCTTAGAATGAGTGGTTTAGGACACAACCCATACATGGGTGATCTGTGCCAGGGTTATAGGACTGCAGCATATTGCAGTTAGTAGGGACTTACATGCCTCTTATTTAGATACACAGCAGCAACCTGTCCTCTATTCAGGACAGCCTTGTTGTATTACGGGCACTGTTACTTCTTTCATGTGTTATGTATTTCACAGAAAGACCAACCTCAACTTGTAAAGCCTTGCAGAGGGGGACTATGCTGTGTCAGACTTGTTCCAGTGTTTGACACTGAGGCTTGCTTTGTCTTTAGCTTGCTAAGCAGGTTTGACCATTTTACAAAGGTCTGCAAATTTGAGTACTGTAGCAGCTCTTTACGCATCAACTCTGTGTTGAAAACACCAGAAAAACATGACAATTACTCTTTTGTTAATTTTTACAGATGTTGTCACCAGACGGAATTCCAAAATTAAGTTGTTTACATTTTTATTAGCAGGTTAGAAAATAATTTCTGGAAACTGATTTTTATTTTTATTTTATTTTATTTTATTTTTTAGCAATAAACCAAATCCCAATCAAATATCCAGCAACAATGGGAAACCTGCTACGGTCAATGGAGCAATGGGAGCCTCTTACCAGGCACAGGCCTCACTAATAGGGAGGGCTTGTGAAAGCTGCTATAGTAAGTCAAATTTTCGTAAATTTTTGAATAATTGAGGAGTTCTGGCTAATCTTAATACACATTAAACAAAATCTATATACTTTCATTTTCATACTATAAGTAAGAGAGAATTTTTGATCTACTGTGCAGCAGAAATAACTTCAGATTAGAACTGCCTTCAATACATCGATGTAATGTTAATACTCAAACCCACTTCATTTTTTTTCTTCAGCAATTTAGTAAGTATGGAACAATCAAGTATTGAGTGGTGTAATGGATGTGATGTTATTTCTTTACCTTCAGGCTTCTAAATCTATATTTACTTTTGCTTGTGCTTTAAATTTGTTTTTAAGGTTTTTTATTGCAGATTTTTTTTTGTTTTGTTTTATTTTTGCTTTTAATTTGCTGTTGTTGCTGTGGCAAGATTGAGTAGTTTTGGGTTGTTTTTTTTTTGTTTTTTTAATTCTCTAGTGCATTTGCATTTTGTACATTTGTGATTGCTCCTTCTTGAAATAGCAGCTTCTGATGTAGATCGTATAAGAGGAGATATAATAGAATTCTGAATTGGAAAAGGCTCAAAAAGCCTGGCATATAGAAGTTCTTTACTTTTGTGATGGCTCTCTGTGTCTTAAACAGCAATTACTTAAAAAAATATTATTTTAGTTTAAAAAGTCCCAGTTACATACATCTGTTGTTTTTCAAGTTATATTTTTAAAGAGTAGTTTTCTGGTGAAAGTTTGATTACAAAAATAAAAGACTAAATTAATGTTTCCAAATGAGACTGAACATGCACGAGATAAAGATAGGCACGCATCTGAAAAGCTAGTTGATGTGCTTACCCTTTTCTTAAGAGGATCTTGACTTATAAGTACTGGCTTCATGTAACTGGGAGGTCACAGAGTAGAAACAGGGATCTTAAACAACGTCTTTAGTAGCAAGCATCCTGATTAGTCAGTTTTCCATGTTAAGTTGAGAAATCATGGAGAGTGAGACTGGAGGGGTTTATTTGTTTGGGGTTGTTTTATTTGATGGGTTTTCTTTTGTGTTTGAAGACCCCTGGAAGAAAATCTCTTTATGCTGATAGAGAGTCCTAAGTTTGAAAATAATGCAGAAATACTTTATGGAGTTGACTTTTGAGGTGCTTTTAAATAAGTTGCTATTTTCTCTTTATCAAATGGATTAAATATTTTTCGTGGTAATGCTTTTGGGAAATGCCATGCATTACAGTATTTGGATATACTGTTCTGAATGTAGCATGCAATTTAGCTGTGGTGTTCTCTCATCCTTAGCTTCACAATCTCACCAGTGGTACTCTTGGGGTCCTCCTAATATGCAGTGTAGATTGTGTGCTTCTTGTTGGATTTATTGGAAGAAATACGGTGGCCTGAAAATGCCCACACAGACAGATGAAGATAAACTCTCTTCCAGCCAACCTGCAGAGGTAGGATTGTGTAGATAAGCCTCTCTGAAGTGAAGTGTGATACCTTCACAACACTATTGTGGTTTGAATAATTAATGGCATGCATTTTATATATGTGTTCAACCATGATGTTACAAAACTTCTCTTACTCTTTTTAATCCTTTTCCTGTCTTTTGTATTGCTAAACGTTGTGCTAGTCCAGACTTGTCTTTATTTGACCAAGTCTTGGAAAGGTAGACTAATGTTCACTTCATGCACTTTTGTTGGAGAAATGTCATCTTGTCAAGAAATTTGTATATGAACTGTAAAACATTAATTTCATCTAGAATGGTATTAATGTATGTCAGTTCACAGCAGAGCTCTCCAGTGTGTTGCATAGCTTCATATATGTAGCCCCAGTTTTTTGAATAGCGCTTACACATGTTAGTTTATTAACATTATGAATTTATTCAACTTTTGGATTATTATTATTATTTTTTAATTAATTATGAGGAAAATATCTTTTGTTCATTTTCTTCATTTGTTTGGTGGAAGAAGGCTGCTCGTTCTTTCAACTTGACGTGACAGGATCAAATAACATTAGATAATTCTTTTGTTAAACATAATCATTTTTGGTACCACCTGTCACAAGTAGGGAACATTCAGATTGTGCAATTCAAGTTTGTGTTACTATTTTTTGTTTTATTTCTGTAGGAATCCCATGTTAGAACTCATATGTCCCGGCAGGCCACACAAGGAACTCCAGTTCGTAACACTGGAAGTCCAAAGTCAGCTGTGAAAACACGCCAAGCTTTCTTTCTTCACACAACGTGCTGGACAAAACTTGCCCGTCAGGTCTGCAAAAATACCCTTCGGCTGCGGCAGGCAGCAAGACGTCCCTTTGTTCCTATTAACTGTGCTGCCATTAAGGCAGAATGTAAGATGTTTTTTTAATTCTTAGTTCTGTGTGCTGTGCTTCCCACCCATTTTTGTCTTTTAATTTTATTTTCTTTTTCAATAAACATCTCTTGTCTATATGCTTTTGCTTTTCATTTTTTCATTTGTCTAGCACATCACCAACACATTCCTAAAGTCTGGCTGCCTTGAAGAGTTTTCATACTATTTCAAAAATAGAATGTTTTGGATGGTGCTGGAAGGATCGGGGATGAGGTGGGGGCTGGAAAAGGTGGGGGGCATTTCAAGTGAATTAACAGGAACATAGCCATTGCCTAATTTGCTTACAAAAAATGTCATTTAAAAAAAATCTTGTGGAGGATCCATGTTGTGATAGAAATCATGCTTCCAACTGGATAATGTAAAAGAAGTTTGCATTTATATTGTTGTTTATTCTTCTACTAAGTAGAAAGTATAGAGCTGTACTTAATTTAGTTTTTCCTCAGTGGAATTGGCCAAAGAATAAGTAGCATTGCTGTGGATGTGTAAGAATTTAGATGTGGTGTGTAATGCAACAGTTTATCGTGTGATCATGTGAGTAATGATAGCCAAGTTCATCATTTCACCATAGTTGCACTGGTTTTTGTCCATTTTATTTTAAAATTTTGTTTTAAATAAAATACAGTGTGATGCCTTTTGTTTTTGTAGTCAAAACAAAGAAATGATTGAGTAATCATATGACAAATGGTTTTGGGTTGCTGTTGATAGCATCAGGAAGTTACTCTATGTTCATGTGTTTTGATTCTGTTCCACAGTCCTATGAAGTCACTCACTATTTCAGTAGGTTTTGTATCTGTACTAAGAGCGTAGTTTTACTGCTCACACCGCCTGGTTCTATTTTGGTCTTCATCAGTACACTTCTCCAATGAGGCACTTGATATTCCAAAACAAGCTGTGCTGGCATGCTACCAAATGTAGTACAATTGAAGAGAGCTATTTAGAATATAAGACATTGGTTTTAAAACCATATTCACTAGATTAATGCTAAATGTTTTCCCAGGATGCCAATGATATCAGTGTTAATTATAAGAAATAATGAGAGGCTTAAAATCTGGTTTTGAGTATTTTTCCCTAATGTACTTTAACACCAACTGTTTCTCACATACAAACTCTTCACCTGCTTCTGCCGACTTCCAGAACTTGATGAGTATTTCTACTCATTGTCCTCATTTGTTTACTTGTCCTATTGTACAGCTTTGAAAGAAGAAAGAAAACAGCCAAGTCAAGAACAGCTTTCATATTTAAGGAAACTGTATGCCCATTGTGTCAATAAAATGGGCTATACTTTCATGGGACAATTATTTCCAAGGCTGGACCGTGCTTATATCTTTAATCCTTAATACAAAATAACCATTATTTTCTGAGAGGAAATGATTGTACCTTTTAACTTACCTTTTAACTTAATTGGCACTGTTTTTTACTAAATCATGGAGAATAATTATTTTTAGAATTAGGTTCATAGAACAGAATCATAAAATTGCTCAGGATGGAAAAGACCTTAAAGATCGAGTCCAACCACGACCTAACCATACTATCCTAACTAACAACCCTCTGCTAAATCACGTCCCCGAGCACCACATCCATACTGTTTTTAAACACATCCAGGGATGGTGACTCAAACACCTCCCTGGGGAGCCTATTCCAGTGCTTAACAACCCTTTCTGCAAAGTTTTTCCTAATATCCAACCTAAACTTACCCTGGAGCAACTTCAGGCCATTTCCTGTCACCAGTGAGAAGAGACCAACCCCGCTCTTGCAGTACTCACCTTTCAGGTATTGGAAGAGAGCAATAATGTCTCCCCTCAGCCTCCTTTTCCCCATACTGAACATCCCCAGTTCCTTCAGTCTCTCATAGGGATATTCTCCAAACCCTTCTTAAGCCTTGTTGCCCTTCTTTGGACCTGCTTCAGCACCTCAATGTCCTTTCTGTACTGAGGTGCCCAAAACTGAACACAGTGCTTGAGATGAGGCCTCACCAGTACCAAGTACAGGGGCAAACTTGTTCACTTGAACTTTAAACTTTTATCTATTTCTTCATACTGCAGATGAACTTTTTGTTCAAGAAGTTGGAGGGAGGAGGTTTCATCCAAGCATTAATCATCATAGTAGAACAAATGTTATAGTCACTTCTCAACTTTTGAAACAAAGGAGGTAAAAAGCTGAGCTTTTCAGCATGAAGGAGTCATTCTTGTACCAGACTAATGATGTCGTGACTGCTTCATCTTTGTTCCTTTAAGTGAATAAGTGCCACATCAGATTAACATCAGGAACAATTTTGTTTGTTTCTGTAGCTTCTATCTTTTATTATTCATTTTACATGAAGTAACTGGACCTTGCTATTTCATCTTTGTGAATGCTGCTGCTTCTGGTTTAGATCTGACAGAGATTGGAAGGAAAAAACAATAAATCAGTTGTTGATGTTTTTTAAGTACAACATTCAAGTTAATATAGAAAAGTCTTGCTAACCGAATTATGTCTCATGAAATGAAGTTAATGTTTGTGTGTAAATGCACATATATATATATTTTCTGTGATTTACCATCTTTCTATAGAATTTTACAGTGTTCTTACCTGCTTATGATTTTTGTCATATTCTTACACCAGTAAAGCCCCTTAAGGAAACTGTTAAATAATGGACTGTTCTAGTTTTGTTCATGTACTTACATTGGTGACCTGTGTTCAGTGCATTATGTGGATTTTAATGTTATATCTAAATAGACTTTTTTTCCCCTGAATGCCTTGAATCTTTGAATGATAGCCTGATATTAATCATCTTAAATGAGGTACTTAATTAGCAGTAATTATTTCATACGTTGAATACCACTGAGCAGTTACAATGTTGAATGAATGCTGTTGCTGTTGTTGCAACACTTACAGTCATGCTTTGAAGATAACCTTGGCAAAATAGGTTACAATTTAGCATGAGATGGTTAGAATTTGTTTTCCATATCGGTACATTGAAACTTGAATCTGATTTTTTTTTTTTTTTTTTTTTTTTTTAAAGATTCTTTAAGAATTACGTAATTCTCTGTGTGTAGAACAAGTGCTGGGAGTTATAACTGCATTTCACAGCTATATTGCAATAGGCACCATGCCAAAATCTTAAAATCGAAATAAAAGAAGGCAGGGCACTCTAACCCCAGCAGCGTATCCACTTTTATGCCTTCTTAGTCTTAGGCAAATTGTTCAAGTGCTGGGTTGTTGATGATCTCTGGAGGTCCCTTCCAACCCCTACAATTCTGTGATTTCTGTGAAATTAATTACCTGTTATGAGAAAGGAAGTCTGAACAAGCTAGTCATAAAGTGGATTTCTATCTTTCATTTTCTAGCTTTTACTAGACTTCTCATAAAGTAAATTGTTTTTTGCATTCCGCTTGAATTTAACTGCTGACACTATAAAAGCATGGAAGCTTTTATAGTGCTAAAACAAACAAACAAATGAAAACTCCACAGATTTCAGAGCATTTGTTCAATTCCTGTAATTCTACCCACATCATCTTCCTTAGCCCATTACATGCGCTGGCAGAGAACAAGGCTCTGTTTTGTGTTCTTCATTCCTTTGGTTAGCTTAAAGAATTAGATTTTCCTCATTAGGGAACCATGTAGCGTGACCCCAGATCTGATGCCAGCAGAAGAAATGGAGAAGATACATTCACATCTCAGTTTAATCTAGGATGGTCACCAGAAGGTTGAGAGATCATGGCGTCTCTTGCTAGGAGTTCAATCCATCATGGAAATCGCAAACTTTGTTCTGTCTAGAGATAATAGACTACAAACTTGTCTGGTGGATTTTTAGGAATAATTAGAATTGGTGAACTGTTTCAGTAAGGAAACTTTCATGCTTTGAATCAGGCAAAATATTCAACCTTTTTATTAGTTTACAAGTTTTTAGAAAGTTGAGCAAAATAATTCTGTCAATGGATTTTATTAAAGGAATCTGTAGTAGGTTTTCTTCTCCGCAATCAGATCAGCTGGAGATAGATCCAATCTTGCAAGTTGTTGATGCCTGACAGTGTGAACTGTCATGTGAACTTCACTGCCTCAATGTAAATTTTCATTTCATTGGTTGTTTTTTGTTTGCTTGTTTGCTGCCCTCACGTACAGTTTAATTGATACAATTATCTATAATAATCACAGTAATTTATATTTGGGTAGTTACACTGTCTATACAGGTGACAAAATGTTATCAGTGAATAGTCTATGATCAAAATATACGCCTTTAAGCGTGCAGATTTAATAACAGACATTTGGTACGTGATGCTGTGTCTTACAATACTGTTTGTTAAAGACAAGTGAAAATTAAGTAGTGTATGCAAAGCTGTTGTTACTGATTTGTCTTTCTAAGCATACAGTCTGTATACTGGCAAAACACTATCCAATCTTCTTAAGCAAATAACATTTACAAACATTTACCAGTCAGAAATCATTTCTTCTAGATTTTCATAGCTGCAGAAGATCTTTGGCTGTACATACGAATGGAAATGTTTGCTCTACTATAATCTTCTTATCTTAAAGTTCTTTTAGCCAGAAAAATGATCAAAAGAATGTGAGACTTTTTCCCAGCGTTACTAAGAGGAAAAAATTCAGTAAATTGGTAAATTATCTTCAGTAAATTTGTTGGATATTTGTTAGAGTTTTGGCAGAAATGGAATGTCAGAAATAACTCACAAGTGAGAATCTCTAAGCTACAAATCTAGTAAGTACAAAAAAATTTAAACCGCTTTCAAATTTAAAAGGACAAGCTCCACTCACTATCATCATCTCCTTAGAATGCCTGATTTCCTTGGTATTCACAACAGTCATCCCTTTTCAAGGCTGAGGAATCAATCTGTTTAAAACCTCATAGAGAATCCATTTCACACTGTGGTTTGTAATGTTGTTCCCTGTAGCTTTTCTATTTGTACTGTATCTTTTTAAAAAGGGTTGTGGTGTCCCACAGTTTCCCATAATTATAGAGAGTGTTGTATGTTTTCTATTTCACTCACTATTTTGCTCCTGGTTTCAACTGGGACAGAGCTGATTTTTCCCTTCATAATGGCTAGTGTGATGTTATATTTTGGTTTTAGAAGAAAAACAATGCTGATAACATAATGATATTTTAGTCGTGAGCAGCTCTATACAGAGCCAGGAAGTTTCAGTTTCTCAGCTTCTTGTACTGCCCTGCCAGCAAGGGGACCAGGGGGCACAAGGAGCTGGGAGGGGGCAGAAGCAGGACAGCTGACCTGAACTGACCAAGGAGATATTCCATACCATATAGAATCATGTGGAAAAAACTTGAGAAATGATGGGGAGTTAGCTGGGGGGCAGCTGCTGCTCAGGGACTGGCTGGGCGTCAGTCAGCAGGTGGTGAGCAATTGCTTGTGCATCGCTTTTTTTTTTGTGCATGTGTTTCTGTGTGTGTGTGTGTGTGTGTGTATAATTACTATTACATTTTTTCCTCTTTCTTTTCTATTCTAGCAAATAGTTTTTATCTCAACCAATAAGTTCTACTTTGGTTTTTGTGTTTATTTTTTTTGTGTATGCCTTTCTGTCAGTTCTTTCCCCCATTCCACTGGGGGTTGAAGGAGGTGAGTGAGCAACCTTGTGGTGCTGAGCTGCCTGCTTGGTTACCCCAAAACACTTACTCTTCTTCTCATAGTAATTTCTAATACTGTAAAAATTTCACCATCGTTTCACCAAGCAACCACTTTCAAGTATTGCCCAGCTACTTATAGAAGGTATTTGCACTGACACTGAGAGTGCTGTTCTGCGTGTTAGTTGTTCAGAACTGATTGTTTTATCTATATGTCACAGTCATTCTACTCCATAAGAATTACTTTACATTCAGTGCTTGATCCCACTGATATCATTGGCAATCAATTTTAGTTTTGATTATGCTCAGTCATTTGCTTTTTGTTTACTTTAACTCCATAATCACATTTTTTCCTACCAATCCTACCAATTTAAATGTTGAACAGTACACATCCTTTTGGGATTGCATAGACAATTGCTTTTAATCAGGCTCTAATTCCTGACAAAACTTTCTTTTACATCATAGCCACTGAAATGTTACAGTCTTTTATGACACGTTTTGTCAAAAGCTGCTTGAAGTTCCAAGTTGGATGCCAGATCAGATGTGTGTGAGTGTATCAAGATCCTCCAGAGGATCCTGGCAGACCTCTGATACTTGCAGTCGCTGTTTTACAGAATATGTGTAGGAAGGGGCCTGTGAATGTCTGATCCAACCACCTGCATAAATCTCAGAGCCTTTTGCCAATCTCTGAGGATGGAGACACTACAGCCTCTATGGGATAGTTGCAGGTGGTAATCAAGTCTTCCCTTGACCTTCCTATCTAAAGGCTGGCCAGATCCAGTTCCCTCAGCCTCTCTTTATGTTCTACACTGGTGGCCCACCAGTAGCTGGATTTGCTCCAGTATATCCATCTCTCTTTTGCAGTGGTGATTCCAGAACTCAACAGTGGTTTCACAGCAGCCAGGAAGAGGGGAGGGGTTAGCTAGCTACCTTTCCCTGCTGGTTGCACCCATGCTAGGAAGGCCCAGCATGCAGTTGTCCTTGTTGCAAGGGTGCGTTGCTGAATAATGTGAACACAACAAAAGCGTTTTCCATTTTCAAGGTCATTGTTGGCTCTTGGTGTTTGACCTGTATGCCTCTATTAATAGCTCAGCCCTTTTTTCCAGTCCACAAAACTACTTATTAAAGAATGGTATCACATTCACCATGTTTTTATTCTCTTGAATTGAAAGAAGTTTAAGTAATAACTGAACACCACTACTGTACATGCTCAGCAGTTTCTGGCTGGATGAATCTCACTGGTCCCAGAAGTTTGTTGTTATTCATCAATTTGCTTTGAAATATTTCCTGTGGACACTTTTATATGAAATAGTTGTAATGTACTTACGAGATATGAGAACTTAAGAGAAATATTTTCTCTTAAGTTTCTCACCAGTGAATACTGATACAGAGAATTAGGTTTTTCTTTTTCCTAACAAGTCTTTAACTGTCTAGTGTATTTGCATCACACTTGATCACATCATATTGATACAGGTGCTAGAGCACTTCTTGTTTTTGATATGTCTGAAAAATGCACACCATCAGATAAAATACTCCTTTTTAAAGAATTGTTCTTTTTTTTTTTTTAATGCCTCTTTTTTTTATTTCTCATTGCTTCCATTCCATCTGGTGTCTATATGGATAGTCATGTTTGATGTTAGGACTTTGTTGTTGTTTTTCACAAGTAGTACATAAAGATCATGAACATTATTACCTTTATCATAGAAGTACCATACTGTGGGTTAAAGTCTGCCATCATTAAATGTGTTTCATTGACAGCAGTGCTTTGGAATATCCACCAAGCACCTTTGGTGAAAATGTTTTGCCTCAAGTGTGGAATTTGCGCTCTTTTTACAGTCTGTATTCTCAACATATTAGCATCTCACTATGATTCAGTGTCTTTTTTTTTTTTTTTTTTTTAGTGAAAACATGTTGGTGGAAAAACTTCTTGCTAGTTTCTTAGTAGTCAATGCTCTACTATTCCCAAACTATAAAATATTCACTGCGTAGCCTGTACTTATTTTACTAAGAGTGTCAGTGGAGATGCTTCTTCTACTCTCAATTAAAACAGTTGAAGTGTTATGGAATGTTAAAAATATTCCAGGCACTAGCTCCAGTGCATTTTCTTCACTGAGCACAGCATATGTTGTTACTTACATTAAGAAAAAATAACATTAAAACAAGCTGAGCATTGCCTACTGGGTTTAAAACACCTGTGAACAGACTCATGTACTTCTTTGTCATTGCTGTGGTTCTGTGGTTACATCACCTGCACATTTTTTCAGTGATCTGGATAGAGTATGTATAGAGGGCAAATGTTATGTTTTTCCTCAAAGATAAATTGTTCTGTATAGTATCTTACCCTTTTCATGTAGGTGTAATCACTGTCTGTAATGTACTCATTCCCCTGTGCGGGATTGAAACACACAGGAATATTTTAGTAACATGCACTGTGGATGCAAAGTATAATTATAATTACTATAAACTATTTTTAATATCTAATTCTTGTTAAGCTTGTTAGAAAATGCAGATTTGTGTGCATGTGATATGCATAGAAAACAACGTGTACGTGGGTGTGTGTACATGCGAGAAGAAATTCTATGTGAGACAATCCTAGATCTACAAAATCAAAACATGAATGTCGTTCTGCATGAAATCTGTGTTCTGGGTGTACTCTCGATGGGGATTATTTATATGATCTTGTAAAACAGATGACCCGTTCTTTCCAAAGAGTTTAAAAAGAAAGCTTATTCCAGTAATCCTGAAACTGACTAATGAAACTTGGTGTCCTGAGGATTTTTGCCTTGGGCTGATAGGTTCTAATCCCGAGGTCTGAACCTCTTCTTTATAATGCTTCTGTATTTGGGGCATGGAGAAGGTCTCTGTTTGTGTATTCTCAGTGCCTTTAAAGGTGTGAGATTGTAGTCATAGCATCAAATTTAGGTAGTTACTGAACTGCTTATTTTCATTTCATTTTCAGGAATTTACGGTCTTTGAAACCTTTGAGCTCTGGCATACATACTTGGTTACAAATTGGCCAGTTTGCTGAGATGTTATAGTAAATATTTTTTTCTGTTTGTATTTTCTTTTTTGTTTGTTTGTTTAAAATTCATCTCTTCATGATGGTCACAGTGGGATTATGTGAATCACCACACCATGGGAGTAAGACATGACAGAATTCAGGCTTCAGAATTAAAGGCCTCGAAGTTCTGTAATACCCCAATTAGAGCCAGACAAAAATTGTGGAAATCAATAAAGTGAAAAAGTCAATGTAAATCCTTGCTAATTTTTTCATTTGTGTTTCATTTGCCTAATTTACTGTATCCAAAATGACTTTGTAGGCAAAATGGAATTTCTGTTAGATCTTATATTAACATTCAATAATTTAAAAATCAATTACATAAGTGAAGACATGGCCTACCTTTAGATATTTATCACTGTTGGCATTGATCGGGAAAAATAAAAAAAAAAAAAAAAAAAAAGGAAAGAAAATCAAGCAAAAATTTGTGGTGTAAGTCAAAGTCAGAAACTGGCTGGTGTGTCCTAATTATATTTGTAATGGTGAAATGTTTAAACTGAGTTTTATTTTTTAACATTCTCAGATGCAGATCGGCATTATGAAATTGCTGGAAATCCTCTGAAGATCAAAAGCACCAGAAAACCGCTGTCATGTATCATTGGGTATTTAGGTGGGTATCCTCCTCTAGCATAAAATAAATCAAATGACTATTTGGTATTTACTGATACTATATGCATAAAATGAGAGATTTTTTGCTTTTAATAAAAAGAAAACTATAAAGTGAATAAATCAATAAATATTCTGGTCTGCTACTGCATTCAGTTGGAAAATTGTGATTGATCATGGAAAGGCAAAATGCTTTCTGATACTGGTTTAAAATGGCAGAGTGAAACCTGATGCAGTTTACAATGGGAAAAAACAGTCTGGTGGTTTGAAAACGTTAGCACTTAGTGGGGAGATGTTCAGTATTCTGTGTGCTGTTCTGTGCATCTTGAATCGATGTGCAAAATTCCCATTCTCTGATGGAGCAGACTTGAGCCAACCTAAAACACTGGCCTTCTTTTAACTTGATGAACAAATTGTACTGATACTATAGCCAAGAGGATGAAATGCTCATGTAAGATAGTGAGGAGGAATTCCAGACATTGTAATTGTTATTTTAAAAAAAAAGAGGAAATGGTCCTCTTTTTAAGGAACTGACAATTAAATATTTACATTATCATCTAAGAGATGAAATACCGAAGAGGCTTTTAATTTATTGTGATACAAATACAGAAATCAATCCATTGATCAGAAGCAGGGGGAGATTCTGCAGAGTATCATCACTGTTCTACGGAATTAGAACTCATTTTAGATATTTCTGCTCAATATTTAAACCAACAGGAGGCTGTTTGTTGTACAACAAAGTAAACAATAATGGTCTTGTGACTTACTGAAACAGAAATCGAGTATAAATGTGATTATGACTGTTCTTCCAGAACACCAAGTTTAACAAAATCCAAGCTTCAAAAAACAGGATAGTGAAAAATTAATATCCACTGTCACAGAATTTTGATTCTTCCTCCTTTGGAGTTTAAGGAAAATGATAGTGCTAACTTCCTACATGCATCCCTGCCGTGTGTTCTACGTTACGTATGTACAGAAGGGAGGAGAGAAGGGCTGTTTCCTCTTACTGGGAGAAGCTGTGGTTGAGGGAGGGGATGGCTCATCTGGCTGACCCCATCTGTGCAGCCAGAAGGAGAAAGGACAGCATGAGTATTTTAGGAAATGTTGTATGTTTTTAATATTGTTTTGTCTAGGCTAAAAGGGATCATCTTAGTAGCTCTGGGAGCACAGGTCTGTAGATTTAATGGGAGTAAATGGATGGATGATGTTAGATAGCATTATGTGCACTTAGTTGAGGGTTTTGTGCTAAAATATACAAGGTATCTGTAGAATCCACTTAGAATTCACTTGTATTGAGATGTTTCACTTCTTATCCAACAGAAGGCGAACAATGCCTTTTATAGGGATATGAAGCATACCCAACATAGTTCTGAGCATACATCTAAGCTAGCTGTCTAAGGATGGCTTGATTATGGCATTTTTTGGGTGGGGAGAGAAAACTGGGAAGTAATAGTGTGTTCCAGTGAATAAGTAGTGCTTTCATTATTTATTTTAAAATTTAGTGTTAAATGTCACATGGTAACTTACACAGGAGGTAGCTGTTTTGATTTTAAAGTCCCTTCCAGGCCATACCCACAAGCATTTATTGAAATGCTGTTAACTGTGTCTCAACTCTTTTGAGCCCTACTGGTGAGGCAGAGAGGATATCAGTGCTCTGCACAATTCTAGGTCACTGTCTTCCTTTGTCTCTTCTGCTTCAGGGCCACCGGTTCCCCAGGTGGAATAGGTTAAGTATTAAAACTAAGCTCTGTCCTCTAGAGAGCCTGGGGTTAATCCCCTGTAATCTCTTCAGTCTTCACTGTACTTACAAAACAAACCCTCCTAAAGTGAGTCCTTAGATAATTAAATGCCCTATTTTTCCTCTCAGTTATGAGGAAAACCTGTCTAGAGTTTCCAGCAGAGATGCATGCTGAGAAGAGATAGAGAGATCCAACTGCTTAAGCACCTATGGAATTCAGGCTGCTTAGTTAGTTAAGTGGCTCAGCAGGAGACTTCAAATTTTCTTAGCTTGCTTTGTATATGTATAGAGTACCTCAGTGACATTAGTGGAAATGGGAGCTTTTAGAGTTTTTATTGCTATTACTTGGGGCTGCAAGCCAGTCTTAGAACAAAGGTTCCTGTAATTGAAAAATATGTAATTGAAGTATTGTTTCTCTTCTCATTTCATTTTTATATTCAGAAGTGATCATAGAATCTGAATTTGGCCAATTGGTTATTTGTTCCGTAGCTATTGGGATAATTTGGATTATTTGCATGTTATATTTAATTCTCTAAGTTAGCAGAAGCTGCAAATGGTAGGAGATTTTCAGTGAATAAAAGTACTAGGCAGTAGAATAAGGGTAATAGCAGTAGGAATAAAAAGATCCCTAAAAGTGCAAGTATTTGAAGCAAGTCTACAGGTAGAGCATAAGAGTAGATGGTGTAAGGACTCAAACTGTTGAGAAATGGTCCTGACTGATTAATAAAGTTTTTTTTGTAAAACTTGGTCCTGCTACTTTACTCATTGCAGAAAGAGAAAAGACAGTCTAAATGGCAAACTGAGGATTAATGACTTCCAAACTGAAGAAATGTCAAAGGAAGGAAATGCATCCTATCTCAGCTGTTAGCACTTTCTAGAAGTACAGAGTTATATCTCCTTTATACTGTAGACAGAAGGAGTTTGAGTTCTAGTCTGTTGATCTAGCTCTGGGCATTATTTTGTTTGCTGCTGGAGCTCTTTTGCAAATAGATAATATTTTAGTGGTATTAGCCCTGAATATGAATCGTTTCCTTCTGAAAATTGAAAGAGACTGCCAAATGAGCATTTTAGAATCAAAGCTCTTAAGCAAACAGTGGGAACATCAGAGATATTGAACTAGCCTTTACATGTGCAGCCTTACAGGACTGTCTTGCAGTTACCAGAGCCCTGGCTTTAATGTCATTCTAACAACTAAAAATGTGTTATCCTGCTCCACTCTTTTTAATCTGAACTTCTTGAAACGTCTTGGATAAGAGTGTTCATACTTCTAAGAGTAAGATTACGTGCTGTGACCAAAACTAAGTTAACCATAGTCTTCCAGTGCAAAGTTTGTTGTTGCTGCCCTTTCTCACTATGCAGCCTGCCTGACTCCCTCTGGCCATCATACTCCTTTCTACAAATAAGGCTGTTTGTCTCTCCCACCTCCCTTTTTCTGCCTAAAGGTTAAAGGTTATTGTGGCTGCCTCAGGCCTTTTGCTGAGCTCCCCGACTCCTGGTGTGGGTAGTTGTGAAGGTTTGCAGTGAGAATGGGCATGTGATGCACACTGATTTTGGGCTTTAGTCTTTGTGGAAGAAAAAAAATGTGCTATCAGGGTGTACTTTGACTCCTGTACAATGGTTTCTCCTGCATAATTGCTATGAATAGCAGAGGCTGAAGGCCCTCCTGCTCGGACATCCTGCCTCCTTTTAGATGTTGCATATTCCCAGCTCGTGCATTATTTTATAAACAAAAAAAAAAAGCAGAATGGGTCAACTTTCAGGTGCAAACCTTTACTACTGCAGTACTTCATTTTGATTTTTACCTTCTTTTCTCACTCTCTGCAGATAGTTGGCTCCTGCTTTGCTAGCAAGCCTCTCCTGCCCTGTCAGAGGGCATCTCTGACTGGCAGCGGACTCAGGTGGCAGGTCTCAGCTGGGCCACACACCTTGGGAAGCCCGTGTGGCATTGGGTGCTGCTGCACAGAGCCTTTGCCAACTTCATCTGGCAGCTTACTGTAAAATTTCCATACAACTGCACCAGCTTTTGGCAAACTTAGCAGCTACCTGCTCTGAATCCCACTGGGCAGATGAGTTTCACTGGCTTTTATGTGCTTTTCTTCTTCCATCTCTGAAATAATCCTCCTGTGTGAATTCTTTCAGACAGTCTCGAATATTTGAATCCATAATAATGGTTCTGTATTGAAGTCTGGCAGTACCTAGGTAGTGATGTTGCAGTTTTGGGGTAGTGCTGTAGCTCTCTCCCTGATCCTTGCACCTAGCAACCTGTATTTGAGATGATCTCTTAAAGCTTGCTCTTTTGACAGAAATTTTGGGATAAGTTAAGACACTGAGGGGGCTTCACTGTTGCTTTTGTTTCCTTGACTAACAATCTGTAGGTGTGTAGTTCCAAAACAAAACCCAAAAGAGGAGGGAAAAGAAAACACAGAACTGTTTCAGTTTGATCTCTATTATCTCTTCACTTGTGAATACCTCACACCATTGCAGTTAACACAGGCAATGCAAAATTAAATTGATTCTTCCTTATTTGGAAGAATAATAGGTATGAAGGTGTGTTCAAATTGTTATTCAAGGTCCTATAAACACATTCATGCTGAAGAAACCCACTTCTGTTTTACTAGAAATTAAAGTGTAAATTTAGTAAGCCAATTAGACTAAAATCTTTTTAATCAAGTCTGTCTTTCTCTCTCTCTCTCCCTTTTGTCTTAAACAGAGATTCACCCTGCAGCGAAATCCAATGTAATCAGATCAACACCAAGCCTTCAAAGTCCAAGTACAAAACGACTGCTTGCACCCTCCAATCACTCTTCACTAAGTATTTTAGGAAAAAGGAACTACAGCCATCATAATGGCCTTGATGGTAAGTAAAGGAGTATAAATGAAACGTATTAAATTTCTGAATTGCACGATTTTCTCTGGACCTAAAACAGCAAAGTTTTATGACTTTTCTGTAGGGTGTATGTTTTTAAAAAATGATGTTAAATAAGAAGGCACAGTCATAGAAATTTAAGGTGTAGACAGCATATTTTCAGCACTCGTAATGCAATTAATGGTGATGCGTATTCACTGAGTGTGAGTATTCATTAATACCATTAATGCCATGTCTCACAAAACCTATTTGTACCAATTTTCTTACTAATCTTTCACCTCTACATAAAAGCATAAGAAAGGGACAAAGCAAATTTAGTGAAAAGAGAAAGATGCTGCAAATGCTTTACTTTGCCTTATTGTGTTTTTATTTGAAAAAATATTATTTAAAATGCATTGCATTTCTTGAATTCTTCTTGTGCAATGTAGCTTCCGTAAGCAATTAGATTATTTGCTGTGTGGTGTTGCAGGTAGAAAATCTGAAAGAAGATAGGCTCTGAAAATAGGCTGTTGAGACATGATTAGCACAAAAGAGGTGACTTTCTGTTTTCATGTTTCACAGGTCAAGGTAGAAATGAGAAAGATTCTTTTTAGACAAGATAATAGAAATGCTATTCCAAATACAGGAGGGAAAGCTCAATCCATTATTTTACCAGAACAATCATGTTTTTCTGTCATTGCCAATGTCATTTGTATCTTACAGTGAAAATACCTACTGTACATTTAACAATACCTAGAAATCACTACATTTTTTTGACAAAAAGTGGTTATTTACTATATATGTATGACAGGATCACTTGGATCTTTGCTCACTGTGCGAACAACCATCACATGGTAGGCAAATAACATGCATGGCAACGCAAGCTATTCAATGGACTAAGGTGACAACTGTGTGATAAAACAATGATACCATTAATAGGCACAGCTATAAATGCAGTACATTTCACACAGCAGAATTTTCACTGTGGACGTTCATTGTGAAGTACTGTAGTGCTGATCTCACAGTTTCTGCATGTGATTATGAACAAAAGCTGCTTTTTCTTCTCTAATGCTGGCCATTAGACTGGACTGGCTTTGTAATCTTTGAGTGAGGAATGAATTTCAACTGGAAATAAAGATTTTACTACATTTCCACAGCAAAGAAAGCTATAGTAATAAGTTGAAGGTAAACATTATTTTGATGATATCCCTTTAAAGAGATGAGCTTCTTAACATTTTTATTCTATTTATTTTGAATGTTCTCTTCAACATAAAGTATTCATAAAGCTTGTTATTAGCCACATTGATTAGTTTGTATCAAATATATAACTGTGTTAAGACAATTTGCACATAAAAGCAATTTGAATCTAATCTAAATCTAATTTGAAAAATTACTATTGAGAGCTGTAAATTGTCGCTTTAGGAGATAATTATTTCTACTTATCTATTTTCTATTAAATCATAAACAATGATCATGGAAATATAATTTGCATCAGACTACTTTGTTCTACCAAGTCGAACACATTTAATAAACACTAAACTTAGTTACTGGCCAAAACTTATCTTTTGTTGACATATCCTCAAGTTTTCTTAACAGTTTTTTCAGCATAAAATCAGTTGCATTATTATCCTCTGCCACATATCAACCTAAACCATAATTTTTATTTAGGATCATTGCTGGCTATGATCACTTGGATCATCTTAATCTCCACTTTTCAGTAATGGTTGTGGTTCCCTTGGCTTTTTTGTTTCCAAAATACTATTGATCGTTTCTGGTTTTATTGCATTAATTAGCAGATTCCAGAATTATTCCAGAACAGTATTAGAAATTTTTTTAAGCCATGGAAGTATGTTTGTTTAAGATACACTACAATTTACGGTATTCAAGTAAATGCAACCTAGGCTTTTGTAAATATATTTTTAGATTAGCATATTTCAAATCAATTGTGTTGCCCAGGTGAGTTGAGTGCTGTAGTTTTGCAGAATATCATACTGACAAATCTATGACAGAGAAGGGGAAGACTGAGGAAAAAAACAGTAATACATGGTTTAATGCTTTTAAGTAAGTTATGACTGAATAAGAACATGATTACAATTTCTTAGGGAAGTCTTACGTTGGCTAAAGTCCTTAGTATGGCCAATGCAGTACAAGATTCTCTTTCATGTCCCATGTATGACTCCAGCAAAAAACTGATGCAACTGATACAGATGAGGGAGTGTGTCATTTTCAGACCATTATTCCTGTTAACTGAGGGAGCTCATTTATCTCTTTTTGGAAATAGGGAGGCTTATGCTTAAAAATCTGATTATCAATCACAGATGGCTAAGAGACATAGTTCTAGTTCTATGCATCTACACGTAATTCATACACCTGAATGAAACAACACTGCTTAAGTGCCATTTATAGTACTATGGCTGTTGTTACAGACTGTTGGTGTTTTCAGAAAAAAAGATTGTGATCAGAGACTGTTTTTCTTTTCCCAGTTCTTCTAGGTGTTTCTGTTCTCTCTTGTAGGAGGGAGAATTTTTCTGAATGATCTTAGAGAAGTGCTCTTTTAGTCTGTTTTCAAATAACAGGAAATCTTGCCTTCTGTAAGACAGAAAGAAAAAATCAAAGTTTTTTTCTGTTCTGGAAAAGTGTACAGCATCATGTAACACGCATGCTGGTGCTTTAAACTACTCTGAGATACAGAATTTCCATTGCTGCTGTGAAGAAAATCAACACGAGATATTTGAATGGTTTTTAGTAGTGAAGGCAGTCTCTTTCAAATGGGGAAATTTATATCTTCAGAAGATCACAGCATTGCAGAATGTTTCTTGCATCCTATCTTATGACTGGAGTTGATGATTATAAGACTTAGGTGTGACTATGAGATACTTTGTAGGTATTGAATCTGATCTTCAAATTACTGTGTCTGAAATTATTTCAAACAATTACTTTCACTCACAAGATGCTTAACTGTGCACAACAGTACTTCCAAGTAATTTGAGTTTCACATCAGGATGTTGTTTTCGTAAGATCTGTTTTGATAATTTTCCATATTTGGAAAGATCAGGTAAAGTTATTTTACATCAATGCAATCTCTGTCAACTGACAACTGTTTCTTTGCTTTTATATGCATCAGAACCAAGAATATCCACAGGATGTCCAAGATGATACAGTCACTGATGGAGTATAGAGATTATTCTGTACCCAGTGATACCAATTGCACTACTCAAGAGCAGAAGTACAAGTTGTTCATAGCTGAAGAGATTTTAATCAACAACTATGATCCCATTTTTCTCTTTTGAGACCTTCAATGTTGTATTTCAGCCTGACATGTCTTGATAACTTCAAGAGGATTCTTTCAACAGTCATACTTCAGTTCCTCAGGGAATAAATTACTGAAGGATTCAGCTGTATCTAAGAATGAGAAAGAAATTTAATTGGCCCATTTTTGTAGGAAACCATGCATCTCTATTGTAGAAAGATAAGAAAGTGACATGAGAAATTGACGAAGTGAGAAACACCTAAAAAAATTGTACCTTCTCTCCTAGGTGCTATTTTGGTCAGTCCCTCTCACTCTTTATGATTAACAGTATTGGCTATTGAAGAGATAAACAAGGAAAGAAAGCTTATATTTTACTCCTGGTTTTTGTGTTGTTTTTTTTTTTTCCATGGGGAATTTGAGGCTCTCCATCAAATATATGAAACTCTAAGCAACCTGACAAGCAGAGAAACTAAATCTTTCCTGCTCAAAAAGAAAAAAAAATAATAACATGTTTCCTTGGAGTTTATTTCATATAACTTTGTGTGAAGTTATGTTAGGAAAAAGGTATTTTCACTGTTGGATTGAATGTCTCAGCAGAGAGAGATGCCTTTTCACTATGGTGTCTGCTTTTTTAGTTATCACAATATTAGTTTTGGTAAAGATAGAGAAGTTCTACCGAGGTAGCAGATTACAACCATCGAATGCATATTGAAAAACATCAGATACTCCATTCATTTTAAAAATAAAACCTTTTTTTTTTTTTTTTTTTTTTGTGCGTATTCTTCACATTAATAAACCATATGCCTACATAAATTGTTTTAAGCTTCATTTTATATACCAGTCATTTGAAACTGAAAGAGAAGAAATGAGATGGGATAAGGTATTGTGTGAATCTTCTGTTTCTCCTGTGCTGAAACAAAACATGCAGTTAATATTGTACTGTGTACCCATTTTTCTGAAAAGTGAGATGCAAATGCTATTCACTGTTTTAAAGCCAGACTTTTCTTCTCTGAAATTTACCACGGAAATGTGTGGGCTAGTTTTGATCTTTGCTGTAACTAGTAAAAGTTTTTAAATACTTGTCTACATGGAAATGTGAGTACAGGAAGTAGATATCTCTGGAGATGTGGGTATTTCTCTAATGTTACTGCCATTTGTTGGGCAAGCAGAGTCATCAGTGAAAGAATCATTTACAACTCTTTGTTATTTCCCAACTTATATAGGACTCAGAGCTTTTATTTATATGAAGATATGAAATACTTTATTTGTAAGACTTCGTTACTTACATTCAGTTCTGAGAACTTCAAAATAGGTTAGCATTCAAGCCTTGATGCCTCACTTTGAGCGTTCTGTATGTTGCTTCCATCTTGTTGGACTAAGGAAAATCTGAAACTGGCAGTTGAGTAGAATGAGCAAGCTAAATGGCATCACAGAGGGAGCTGAAGATATTTCACAGTGAGGTGCCCCCTGACCTGTCCCCAGTTTCTGCTGCTGAATAAGAATTTATTTTTATACATATAGATAAGGTGTAGGCATTATTTCACAGTAATGCAATCTTTTATAATTGGCAGAATAAACAAGCTCTTAAAACAGTAAACAATTAGAACAACTTTATAATCAAATTAGCTCACAAAACAGTGCAGGTGGTCGTTCCAGGAATTAGATTCTGCTTACTTCCCTGTGGTAGAGTTTTAAAGAATTAAAGTTGCAGAAAGACAGAACTTGTCTGTTGGTTAATAGGGTTAGGAGCACAATTACCTCACAAATTACATGTACTGGATTTGAGATCTGAAGTTTGTACTTAGTAATTCTGTGTATGATTACTGCCAAGTGGATTCATTATTTATTGTAAGTTGTGATTGCAGTGTACAAGTTGTACTTTATTGCATAATGCAATATGGAAGGCACCTTCAAAAAACTGCCTAAGCAGTTTAACTGGAAAGTTCCTCATCTGGGGAAGATACTTTTTGATACATTTGTATGTTTCCGTGTTCTTTTGCTTTTCTTGTCTGTGTATTCTCTCTCTAGTGTTTCAGATTTTGATCTTGGAAGACAAAGAGTCATCCTTAAATAAATTCAAATTAATTCTTAGTTTAAGGTTATATGCAATAACAAGGCAATGATAAAGCTTATTTAGAGGGAAAGGTTTATATAAGGGCATCATTTTTTTTAGTTCAAAGAATATTTAGTTAACAGAGTATGTGACAGTTTGAATTGTGTAACAATAGTACTTTATTAAGTAGCCTTTGCTAGATCTAGAATCTTTTGTCTACATCTACTTCTTAAAGAGATCTTTCAGTAACTTTTTTATTTATAAATCTACTCAAGTCTTTCTAGAAGGCTAAAAGGTGTTTCACAATTGAGATTCTATTTCAGTATCTGCAGCACTTTATAGAAACAAAATATAGCAAAAAAAATGATTCTCACCTAGATAGTGTAAACACTCTTGCATGTGTAGCAGGTCTTTCTTTAGTTCTTTGCTTGATTATTAATAGGTTATCAGAATGCTAAAATCCCAGAATCAACAGCTGTTGGCATTGTATTAAGTGTGTAAAAATATTGTTCAAAAACGCTTTTAACAACCTCCAAGTCCATTCTGATGTTACATGTTGCAGTCCCCAGTTCATATCAATATCAATATTGGTATTAATATCAATTAATGTCAAAGAAGATATTATTCTGGAACATTGGTAGTAGAATCATGACTAAGCATGTCTTTATAGAACTGAGCATATAAATCTGTGTCAAAAGGGCAGTACCTCTGAAAAAGAGTGAAGATATTCTTATTTCTGGAGAATCTGAATATAGGAAGTATGTGCTTTAGTTAGTTCATTTCAGTCTGATTGTGAATGAGTGGAGATGTGTTGCTCTGCAACACATCTTTGTATTTCAAGAGAGAAGAAACCACACTCTTTTTGTTTAACCTGCTTTTCAGCATTTCAGGAAATGGAGATGTGCTCTTTTAGGTTGTATCATTGTTGCTTTTGTTTCGTTTTGTTTTGGTTTCTGGGAAGTTGGGCTTGCAAAAATAGTGAGTCCTTTCTCAAGAGTTATCTCCTTCCACAAAGGTAATCGCGGGGTTTTCTCAGGAACGTTCCTCAAATGTTATTTGGCTGTAATGTCAAAACAGTAAGTAAACTTGTAATAACAAAAATAACTTCACTGAAAAGATATGAATTGCACATATCATGGGTTTCTTCACTCTACTCTACTAGGAAGAGCATAGTTGTGATGTAGCACCTATAGTATTGTAATGCCACAAAGGGCAAGTCTTCTGTCCCTGGTAGGGAAAGTAAAAACAACAGCAACAAAGGAAATGTACTGTAAGTTAAGTAGCAGGATGAAGTCTGTGTTGGCTATTGGCCTGGTCATGATTTCTCAGCAGTATTATGCAAATGTGTGTGTTTGATTGACTGTCTTGTAATTTACCATATATGAGATAGTAATTAAAATTTCTGAATGTTATAATTCTCAATCTCCTTCTGCCATTTAAAGTAAAAATCCATAAAAATTCTCATGTAAAGGACAATGTAGTTTCATAGAGCTTTTCAAAATGGGAATAGTTATGGAATTATTACTGTTTGTATTTTTTCTACAATGCTAATCATTGATGAAAAATGATGCCACAATTCAAAAGCAACATAGAAAAAATTTTTCAGATGTGAAATATGAATTCTATTTTTTCATTTTCTTGCAGAAGAGGACAATTAAGAATGGATAATAATGAGTGCATGGAATAGTATACTTTTATCTGCTATGTATTTTCAGTGATGATTCTCATGTTTGTTTCATGAGACATCTTCCCAGTCCCTGCATTTCTGATATGCTCCTTGTTGTAGCCATGCAGAAACATCTTATATTTCAGGGTGAACGCAAGAAAATAAGGTTTTTATGAGTAAAGACAATACTCTAATGCACTGTGGTTCTTCTGTTTTCCAGAATCATCCAGCCACTCTACAAGAACGATAATGGTAAGCATAAAGGAAATTTTAGGCGTAGATCAATCTATAGAAATGATTTGTCCTTTAACACAAAGTAGGTATGATCTCTTTATAAGTCAGCTTGTTAGCAAGTTTTCATATAAAGTCCACTATCACTGTTGAGTTTAAGTGAGTCATTTCATGTGAAATTTTGGGGAAAATTTGATGTAGGGTGAATAGTTTAAGAAATTGCAGTGCTGGCAGTTAGATATATGAATATCCAATTACAATTCTGGTATTATGTGTTTAAGAGATTTTTTTCAATTATGTCAAATTGAAGTCGATTAAATCTCTTACACTGTATGTATATATCACAACAGAGAATGTTTAAAGTTGAAAACATGTTGAGTAATGTCTTGTATCGCGTTTCTGTGAGGTTGGTTTCTGACTTTATCTTAAGTCTGATAGCTTGTGTTCCAGGGACAGGGAAGCACTTAAACTGACTGATAAACTTCTAAAAAGTTAGATTAAAAAGTTTTGTGCATAAAAATGTCATTGATTTCAAGTCTGTCTTGGTTTTTTTTTTTATAGAGTGAGACATTTTATCAGTCTCTTTCAGCCTCCTAATAAAAGTTAGATAAGGACTGAACAAAAGTTAAAGGAAAAGACTGAGTAGGATATGCCTATCTAGCAGGGATTTGGGGTCAGAGCTATTCACTTCAGAAAAAGACTAATTTTTTGAGGCAGGCTTCTTACATTTTAAAACAACCTGGAAAAAACATGATGTCACTAGAGCCTTTGTAGTCACTCCTACGGTTTTCAGTGTTCATTTAAAATAATTACTTCTTAGACATGTGCATCATTTGTGGGACATGTGAATTTCCACACGGAAACGATTCAACACAGAGGAAAGGGTAAATGTAATTCATTGTCTTTATCACCAATAACCATTAATAGTCTAATGTTAATGGGTAATAAATTGGTTAAGACTACAGACCACAAAAACTCAAAGCACTGGACACATCTGAAAAGTAACATTTTGTTTATCTACTGGGTGTGATATAATCCTTGCTGTGATTAATTGTATTGAAGTAGACTTGTTTCCACATAAGAAGTTTAACCAGTAGAATTTCTGTGCTGTAACATGTTGAAAGGGATTGAAAAATTTTTCAGTATTTTTTCAAATTTTGCACTGATGTCAGAAAAAGAGCTAAAGGTTAAGAGACTGTTGAAAAGAACATTCTTCATTTCCCTGTAATGTTAATTTTCCTCCAAAGATAAAACGTTTTGACAGTTTGTCTCTTCAGTGTATCAAAACAGCTGTAAGAACTTAACCAAAGAAATGTTCTTTTCCTGTACAAGTGTGTCCTTACACAAAATATGGCCAAGCATTTGAAGCAGTGAGAGGTTTTTGAATAACTTTCTCAACCTTCTTGCATTCTGAGCCTCCCCAGACCTCCTTGCTGAGAACTCAGACCTTTCAGACTAATGCTGTGCAACCAAAGCAATGCTGTAGTTGTCCATTGCACTTAAATAAATAGAAGTGCAATTAAAAATAAGAACACTAATTAGACAGTGTCAAAAGGCTATCACAGTGCCCACTCTTCTCTAATAAAATAACTGAATGTGCAATGGAAAATTTCTTACCGCTCAGTAGGAAGATAATATCACTAAAGCCAGAAAATACATTATTCAGCTCATTAGAAGCAGTATGAGAGTGTCTATTCAACGCAGAGATAGTGAAGCTATGCTGTTGATGTCCATTTTTGAATGAGTACTGCAATAAATAAATTACTTTGAAATTAAGTCCACTTGTTCTGACTGATTATAGCTAATTTTCTAACAGATACAAAATTAAGCATAATATTTAATCAAACAGAATGAGAGAAAAATAGCGTAAGTAAGACATTAAATCTGATCTTTTCTCTGGAGTTTCAGATTTGTGTTTAAATCAAAGCCAATGTGGAATAGAGTGTACATTGCTATGGAAAAGAACACATAGTTTTTCTGAGAACACTATGTATATCTTCAATTTTTAAAGCTCAAGAATTGTGCATTCAAGTACAGTATTGTCCCCTATTGTTTGTTTCAGACTCTTGCTCATAAAAATAAAAAACCTAGAAAACTGCCAAGGGGTGTGTTTGTGTGTGAGGGGAATGAGTACCTTCTCCATTTTAAGTATAAAACAGATTTCTTGTTATTCTATGAATAGATGGCTGGGATGGTTTTTCATTACTAAATTGATCTATATAAATATTTACTTCAAAGTGCTGCATTTAACGATGTGGTTTATTCAGAGGTTACATAGCTTTTGTGTAAATTCTGCTAAATGCTATGAACATGGTAGTAGTTTAGCCCGGCTTCTTTGGAAAGTAAGCCTTTTTTCAGTCTTATTGCACAGAAGTCATTGACTACAATTTTCAGAATTAATTCTAGTCCAGGTATTTTGTTGAAGACTAAGTAGCAATCAGAATGTTCAAAATGATACTGTAGACTATTTGTTTAATTTCTTGCATATGATCTATTGTTTTGATTACTTTTAATAGCCTTCAGGTTTCTTGAATGAAGTTCTATACCAGAAGTGAGTCCATGTAAACATGTTTTATAATTTTTGCATTTGTCACAAGTCTCCCTAAGTAAGCTAAACTAGCTCCAAACCTTGATTCTTTTGAGAGGGATAATGCCTGAGCAGATAAGAACTGCTTAGATGTGGCAAAAAAAAATAAAAACAATTTAGAAAATTCAATACCTAGTTTAAACTCAGTGTCTAGATGTGGTTTACATGATATCTTGTATAATTAGGTCAATTAAATAAATTGAAGCAATTGCTATGAATTACTGCCAATCATGTTGTGCACATGTGATTTCCTCTAGTGATTTTTTTCTTTGTTTAGAGATCTTATCTTACAGTTGGATTTTGTTTGAGAAAAAAATTTATATGAGAAAAAATGTAAACCACAGACAAACAAAACCCACTGATTTAGGCCACGGAAAAATGTCCTTTCAGGATGGGAAGAGAGTTAGGTATGAAAAATTCAAAGCCAGTTAGGATTTTACAATAATCCAGGTAAACATTTTTTCAGTCACAGCCAGCATAGACATTCCTCGTTAATTTTTACATTACGCTTATAGTGCCTGCTGGTGTTATGTGCTTACTTCAAACACTTTTTTTATGTATCTTCTGTGTGAAAAAGAGTATTGCGTTCACTGAGAATTGGAGGTGCCTCACTTGCGCTCGTTAGGAAATGAAGAGTTGTGTACACAAATGGGAAAGTCATGTCCCTGCCAACTGGGTGCTGATTAGCAGCACTTGCAAGCAGCTGTCAAAAATGGAGCTGCATACCTGCCTGTGTGTGGATTAAATACCAGAGAATAGCAGCCCTGCAGAAATGTTGTAGTGGGGGACAGATGCCACTGTGAAGCTGCTGTGACAAACACATGATCATCCTATAAACTCATCATTGGAGACTTGCTGAACACCTTCAGAAGATTACTTGTTTTCAGAAGCCTCTGAGAACGTCTTAGAGTCCTCAGCATGGAGACCTCCTTCCTGGCAGGTGAAACTTTTACAAGAGATCACTCTGTGCTCCAATCTTTATTGAATGCACCATTGTTGCCTTGAAGCTGTGATGGGGATTTTTTATTCCCTGCTTGGGTTGTAAGGCTGACTGGTGAGAGCTTTGTTTTCTCACCAAAACTTCAGTGCATGCATTTATTAACGCACTGAAACATTACATGATCAGGACACTTTTCTCTATTGGGCCTAACATCAAACTGTGGTGTGGAGGTGCCTTTCTAGGCATCTCACTTGAGCTCAGAAATGTGTTTCAAGGAGTTATTTGTTGTGACACCTGGGCAGACTCTAAGCATTTATTTCCTCAGTTTACCCCTAGGAGGCTTTGCCCAAACCACACCTTCTTGTGCTCTGTGTTTCTCTTCCAATTGCTCTCAGAAGTTTTCTCATAGTGTCTTTGGGGTGTGGAACAGTTTTCTTCTAGGGATACAAGGTATCAGAGTGAATGCATTCAGACTGGGATAACAGAGAATGTATGAGGAAGTCGTCACTTATTGGGAAGGTAGATTTGTCCAACTTGCAGCTGGCAAACTCTAAGTAAGCCTCCTGCTGATCTGCACTTTCCCACTGTTATGTGGATTCAACATACCTGCGATTTGTTGAAAATGGCAGCACAGCTTATTAGTAAATACTCAAAATCAAAATGCCAAAGTTGCACACAATAGCATTGCAACGAAATTATCGTAGCATTCTGTGTGCGTGGTGTTTGACTAAGTAGAGATCCTGTGGCAGTACTAGCAATATTCTTGAGACTTCCATAATCCTTCTACAATGGTGTATGCTCAGAGAGAAAAATAAAAAAGAGAAACATGGAAAAAAAAAAAAAAAAGAAAGAAAAGGAAAAAAAAAGGAAAAAGAAAAAGCATTTAAGTACTTAGTATGAAAGGTCTGTTTGCTCTGAGTACTGTCAGTATGACCATTTCACTGAAAGCTCGTTTTAATACACAACGGTAAATATATTTTTTTTAGAGGAACTAATTGAACTGATTTTTCTACTTTTAAATTGTTTGAGAAGTTCAATTGTTCCTATTAACTGGAAATTAAAGATAATGTGGTCCCCTGCACACAGACTGGTCTTTAAGCAAAGCATAATTAATTTCTCTGAATAAATTGAAAGGACTCATGGAGAAGAGAAATACAAGGAAAAACAATAATCATTATGATGTGAGAGAGAGGAGATGATATTGTAACCTTTGCACTATTTTCTGTAATACTATATCTTGCCTGGAATAAGAATTAGATTCTGAGAAATGGGAAAAAAAGCAAACCAGTTCAGGACTAGCATCGACATCCGTCTTTACCACGGAAAAAGCATTATGAAAAAAAAAGCCATAATTTTTCTATAAGGCTTAATTGTTTTACAAAGTTTTTGCTTTAGGAAATGCACTTCTTGTATGTTGCATGATTCCTGAACATACTTTGCATGTTTATGAGTGACTTGAGTGAAGAAAACATTCAGTGGCATATTAGAAAGGAAAAGATACTAACCATTTTGTGTGAGAACTTAAACTTGTTTCTGTCTGGGGAAGCAACAAAAATTGCTCTTCAACCCCTTGAATGGTCCTCTGTAATGTATGGCACTGCTCACTGCCAGGTAAAAATAATCACTTTGAATACAGTGTGAAATCAGTACATCTGGGCTGTATGACTGCATTTTCTATGCATGAATTGTTGCTCACTTTTTGAGCAGTATGCATTTTGTGCACTAAGACATCAGTTAAATAACTTTTGGATTTTTAAATTTATCCAAACTATGTATTTTATCCTAACTTTATTGTGAATAACAACTGAATTACTTCTAGCAGCATTTTCATTGCTTGTTTCTCCCCACGAAAGCCAACACAACAAAACGTGAAAATCAAACTGCAGTCTAGACAGTGAATGAAAACCTGGAAAAATTTAGGCAAATATTAGAGGGCCTACAAGGGAAGATTTGTCGCCCTGTGTGCAACAGCAGCTAAATTCACCACAAACCTTCTTTGTCTCTAAGGCAAAGGTATATAATTTTGTTCGAAGAAAGAATTATCTGTGACTCACTGAAGTTGTTGCTTTCCCCATTGCATCTAAGAAAACTTAGAGGTGATTGTTCAGTTTGTTACACTAAAGTAAAGAATGCTGGAATTTGTGCTCAAATGAATAAAATTTCTCCTACTATAGGGAGTAAGTGGTCTGGATTGGGGTGTCAAAAATTGTGGCATAGTGGGAATGAAATACATTAAATGTAAGTGTAATATTTGGCTGTTACATTTTTGTGGCATGGTTTCAGAGATCAGCTTCATGTGTTCTGCCAAACTTTGTACATGTTATCAGCACCTTCCTTTCTGAAGGACTGCAGACTTTTTCCCCATACATTACACAAAAAAGAAAAAATACAATCAGTAATAAGGAATACTTGGATTATTTCAGCAAGAAATAATACTTTTTCCTGAGGGGACATGATGCTGAATCCATGTGAGATAAAATAAGCAAAACTTTTGAATTCATATGTCTTCTAACATGTCTATTTTTATCAAATACTGCAATTACTTAATCCTGCTGACAACTGGTTGCGCAGCAAACAAGACTCTAAATTCAAGAATTAATGTACTCGTCATGGAATTTTCCTCCATAATGTTTCTTACAGACAGTGCAGAAAACACTTGCGCTCTCTACTTGCATGTATATCAGAAGGCGGCCTTCTGAGACAACACCTGTTGAATCTAAATCTTGCTAAACTATTAGTCCAACATGTAGCGATGGATCAATGTACCATTTTATGTTTAATGTTGTCTGTGTTAAAATGAAGGTAGAATTTTTGCAGTCAGCTCTAGAATATATATAATGACTGGTGGGTCAGCTAACGAACTATGGCAACTGCCTAGATGATGTAAAAAATTTTTACAGCAGTACCAGGTTCTTGTCCCGTACAGTGATTTTTATTTAAAATAAAGCCAGATACATTAAGGAGCTATAAAGTGAGAAATGTGGATTTTTTATTGTTTATTGGATTAATGCAGTACTTGGATCAAAAACCAAATAATTGGTTGGGATACTGAGTTTTGATCAGAAAAATTTGCAAAATGAATTTGCTCCCAAAATCAACAGATTTCTGTTGCAGACTTGCTTGGTTCATGACATTAATTCATGCTTTGCTTCTCCTTTTACAAGTGGGTTTTAAAAAGCTTTCAGTTCTGTGGCTAAAACGTGTCACTGTGCACAGATGATCAGGAGATGTTATCTAATTGGTAGGTACTTGTTTGAGAAAAGTTAGCTGTTTTTTGAGAATGACAGTGTGTGTAGGCTGCCCTTTACAGCAGAATCAGTTAAGAGAACTATTCTTGTTCCCTGGCAAATATCTTTCTTTTCTTTTTTTTTCTTTTTCGTTATGATTTCAGCATGCTGCTCCCCGTGTTCATATAACTAATGGTAAGGCCTTGCAAGCCAGTGCAAGTACCATTAAGACAAGCGCCATTCCAGTGATAAAGAGACAGCGGCAAAATTGGCTTGATGCTTCAGATGATGGTTTCTTTATAGCCACGGAAGAGACCAGGTAAGAGAAATGAAATTGAAGCAGGGAAAGAGGCTTAACTGCATACATGTTATTGATTCGCTATTTGAATAACAGTTTTTGTCATTATTTGAGGTCGTGTTACAGTGAAGAGCCATGTTACATCAAAGTGTACACCCAATTTTCATCTCTTGCTTATTAACTTTATCAGTGTTTCACTTTTTCAGTCTTATACTTTATGTGGCAGAGGTTAGAACTTTTTAATTGTTACTAATTGTAGTTCAAATACAATGAAGTTTGTGGCTGATCGCGCAGCAAAATGCATGTGTCTCCACAATGGAGGCTACACTAAAATTTTCAGAACTAGGAAAAATATATCACACAGAAGAGAGAAATATATAGCAGTCAGTGTCTTTTCTGGAATATTAGTTCATTTCCAACTAAGGTAACAATCTTCTTCAGTCTGTCATTTCCAAATTAATTGGTAAAATTTAATTAATATTTACTTTTCCCAGAAGAGTTTGATATCACAGGATTGCTTGTGGAAGCTCCTCTATTCTTTTTTTTTTTTTTTTTTCCTCTGCTAAGATCTGTCCTTTCCCAGTTTTAAACTCAACCTATGAGAAGAAGTTAGTCTTATTTTTGTAAGCTGGATCTCTTATTTAGAAGCACTTTAAAATCTTCCTTAGCTTTTAAGCAAGGGGATTATTAGGGCAAGTAACATCAGACTGATCTTCAATTCTGTGATTATTTCACAGGCCTAGAAAGGCTATCAATCAAAGAAAAAATGTTAATAATAAAATAAGAGTAGGATAATATATGTAAATGTAGAGCTAACCAAGAAAAACACACATATTTGATTTGGTTTATGGTAGATACTTGTATGTGATAATTTGGTGGTTATTTCAAGATAATTTAAACATTGTACTCGATTTTCTTTTGCATGAGAGGTTCAGGAATTCAGTGATAACAGCAGGAGAATGATAAGCTATTAGGCTTCTGATGTCTACCTCAGTGATAAAATTCAGTGCTTGTCTGATACTGCTCAGTGTGTATAGCCACTATCAAACAAGTCCCTAGTGAGTATATCACCAAAATGTGACAGGTAACCTAAGCCACCAACTGATTTAGAAGTTTTAAGTGCTTTTATTCCCTGTTATTATAGAGAGGTGCCTGTCAAAAAATATGAGTCCTGTGCTGACAGTAGCTATGTCTCCCAACTGATCTTAGATGTAGCCCAGACAGCTAGTTTAGATGTTTAAATTCTAAGTGATTGAACTATAACGATATGAGTCTTACCTTTGCAAAAACACTCATCTGAGATAGCTATGTATGCTCAAATATCCCTCTCCATCTCCATGGTTGCAGAGGACATTCCCTGACAGGGCTGAGGTAGAACTGAGTTCTACCTGTGTTCTGAGTGAGGCAGAATATGTGCCATCTCCAACTCTGCATTGATGATGATGGATAAACAGGAGTTTAGATGTTGTGACTCTATCTGCTGTTTTCTTTACTTTTTTAATGATTTGAATGGCATTTGAAAGGCCCTTGTATGGAGATCATAGGGAAATATAACCTCAGTGATTGTCCTTCAAAAAAACTAGTGTCTAAAAGTGCATCACTAAAAGAAGTGCAGCAGGCAGTGCTCAAGAACTTGCATTGGTTGAGCCACTCCTGGACAGTTTTCTCCAGTCTGATAAGACCTAATGCTGTAGGTCTAGCACATGTACACAGGCACTTACCTTCCTTCCGTGGTATCAGCACACCAGGAGTAATAGTACCTCAGCCATAACAAATTGCAACATTCAAAATTGTAATTAGTGTGAGACAGCAACTTCTATCCCTTGAAACTCCATTTCATTGCAGGTCTTTTCCTTTTTTTTTTTTTTATTTTTTTATTTTTTTCCAGTTGATTCCTTCCGTAACTCCAGGGATGTTTTCCCTTCCTAACTTTTTCCTTTGTTTTTTTAGATTCCTTTCACCCTTATTCTAAGATTATTTGAAAGAGATATAGTGTAGCTCATTCTATTCTTGGCTTTCATTGGCCTCTGGCCTTTGTAACTTGAAGTGGAAAGCCCTACCTGGTCCTGCTGCTAATAGTGTACTGATTTTCCAGACAGTTATTAAATGTTCTGCTCCCTGGGAGAGAAGATCAAATAGGCATTGGTCTCTAACAATTGACCTGTCTTGTGATAGGAGTTCATACAGTTGAGCATGGCTACGACATAGTTGAATGCACACAATGACAATGGGAAAAGATATTTTATGTATGGAGGAGATGACTGTGAAAGCAAAACACAATTTATCCAGTCCTACCATAGAATGAAAAAGGAAAATACTTCACTTGCCAGTTGGCAGCCATTAAAAAATGTGCTGACTGCTCAGTTCAGAAAAAAATAATCACATTTGAGTCAAGATACCAACATGCTTTTTAAGGCACGTTTCCCTATTTTTCTGCATCAGAGTCCCGTATGTATTATCATGTGTATTTGTTAGAAATACAGGTGAGAAAGACATATGCTAATTACAATATTTTTTCAGTATAATGTTTGGATTGGATGCTACATAACAGTTTTCATTTCTGTCCAAAAATATTTTTGCTTGTGCAGTGAATTAAGGTTTAAGGTACATATTTCTATAAAACCTCCAGCAGTAAGTCTAGATATTCTTAGACATTTAGCTAAAAAATTATACCACAGTAATGCTTCTAAACTAAATGAGGTGCCACTTGATTTCATTGTAACCAAGCCAAAGATGTATAACATAAGCATTCAAAACATTGTTGTCTTTCAGTAGGTAAATTGAGTATATTTTTATGCCTATACTTTTATGTTAAATGATATTTTAAAAGAAATTATTATCATTCTTCCCACCTCTGAATTTAAGCTCCAATCATATTTCTATAAAGTTCAATACTGTATGTCAGATTGTTCAGATTCCAGGGTATTGGTAGTGATAGATGAGTAGGGTTCTAAGTATTCAGAGCACGGAAAGTAATTATAGAAATTACAACTAGTCTAATTTTTCCAAGGCAGTCCTTGGAATTATCCTAGAATTTTAAGACCACGACCTGAATGTCTATTAGGCACTTCTGACACCTGTGTGAGTTCAGCTTACTTGGGATTTCAACATCTGTGTTCAGTCACACAATCAAAGCAGGAATTAATCTAGGTGAGAAGTAGGTAACAGTTCAAAAGCACTTACCATAAAGTTTCATCACAATTTTATGTTGAACTTTAATGAATTTAATATTTTGACATTTTTCTTTATTCATTCACTTCCTGAATGAAAAAGAAATTCTCATTTCCTACTCTAAAGTAACTCGCTCAAGTTTTTATTCTAAAGTGCAAATCTATTTACACGATTCACTGAAAAATCACTCTTTAAAGATCCTTATATTCATCACTACCCACCAAGGGAGTCTACTTATTTCCTTTTAATATAGTTTGATATTAGCTGCTGGGATTGTCCTACCACTATGTGTATAATTGAGATCAGAGAGTAGTCTCATAACTATAAAGAATTTTATTCAGATCATTGTACTAAATCACCTTTGCCGTAAGGAATCTTTCTGAGTTTTATTTCCATTTTGTTGACTAGCTGTAATGTAGATTCTATTGTAGGCTCTGTTAGAGGTTAATGCAAAAAAATGGCTACAGTATGTGAAATTAAATTCTTTGTAATGAATTACTATTCTGGGTCTTATATAGTAATTGGGAAAATTCTTATGTGGTCTAGTGAAACTTAACGAGAATGTAGCGTATTTGCTTAATATTAGTTGCATTACATATGACAATTTGTAAATAAAACTAGTATCTGTAGATTTTTATTTTTCTTAGCAGTTCTAGGTATGCAATATGTTTCTATACATAACACTCTGTCCATTAATAGAACATGTGTGTGTGCTGTCAATTATATTTGTACAGGGACAGCTAAAATATTGTGTGGAAAATGACATTTTTTTCAGCATTTGCTTTATAAGAAATGTCTGGAAAGGTTTGACTGGAAGGGTTATAGCTGCAGATTCCATATGCTTTCCCTTCATGGGCCAAGAAGCATATTTGCATATAGAAACACAGTTGAATGACTCAATGCTTGTTTCCTTTCAGCACTGAAGCAGTTAGAAACCTTCTCACGGTAAGTGGAACTCCATTGGGAATAAGTTAACTGCAACTGTTAAAATTAGAATGTGATCTTTAGCTGTTACCAGCAGACATTGCTTCCTTTTTGCTGATAAAATGGTTTGAGAGGCATCTCTGTGCCAGCATTATATAGGCAATTTTCATATTCTTCACATCATGTTCTTCCTCTCTAACAAAAAAGCTTCCCTTGATTTTTTTTGAGTTACTATGTGAGGTGTTTATGATAATTATCTGATAGCACTCATTTTTACTTATGCATGTCTCATAGCACACATAAAAGCTTAAAGCTAAAGTTGCATGTTGGAAAAAAAAAGAAAAAAAAAAGAATGTGGTGCTCACAAACTATATTCAGCAAAATATTGTATCTTGCTTTTGCCATCAATTGCCTTGTTCTTTTGCAGAAGTGGGGAAGACTAATTCTGGTGCTCTGGCATTTCCTGCTAGCAATCAATGCACTGTAGTTCTATCAGTGTAAATCCTAAACTTAAGTGAACCAAACCTTTGTTATATTACAAGTTGCTAATAACTTGCCATTGTCCCATCTCCTTCCAACATGGGCTTTAATATCAAGTACTGTGTTGAAGTTAACGGTTGGAGAGGCTTGCTGGGAGAAAAGGGACGGGTAGAGGGGTAAATCTCCTGTGTCTTGGTTTTTTGCTAAAGAAGATACATGCAGGTATGGATCAAAGTCAGGATTCCACTGTTTACTCTGAAGAGGAAGAGCTCTTCACACATGCAGTTTCTCATCACAGAAACGCTCATGAACATGTATACTTTTTTTCTCAGTTAACCTCCATTATTATTAAAGTTGTGCACCAAAAAAGTATTGTTAATGTTCACTCAGGGGCAGCCTCTGCTTTTCATAAAGATGAGTCAGTTTGATTTGAATTGGGATTCCAGATCTGAACCTCTCATGATTGGATCACAGAGCATAGTGCCTTTTCATTTCTTTACTTGCATGGAACTATGGCCATATGACTCCCATTCTGTATCTGACTGCATGGAGATGCTTGACTGCACACTTGGAGAATCAGCTGCAACTCTAACAGTGCTATGCACCAGCTGCAAACCTCTAATCAGAAAATAACCATCTAAAGATGCATTTTTCTGATTCCTTTACTTCTGCTGGATTATATCACTGTCATACATCTTGAAAAGCGGGGATTATAGAATTAGAATATCTCTTTTAGGATTACGTCTAATCCTTGTTGATAGGATTGTAAATATTGATTGGATGAATGTGACTACAGGTGAGCTTGCAATCATTTCTAGTACAATACAGCAGATGGGCAGTTTGGGGAGGAATTGTCCCTGCTCCAGGTAGAAGTCCTACATGGCTAAGTATTATTCAACGTTGCTATATTTTGTCACTTTCCTCAAAGCAAAAATCTATAGTCTAAGAATTTCAATGCTATTTTAACCTTATTTAGTGTGGAACATTGGTGAATGTTATGTATTGTTGATGACTTATAAGTGCTAATTCTCCCCTGACTCTAGCTGAGGTGCTGTGATGCGGAATCCCTATCAGGAATACAGAAAGTAGGTCACAATCTCTTGACCTTTGTTTCTCTTTGAGTAGTTTTCATGGATGTGCAGATAGTTTCTGATGTTATTCATCTATAGGTGCTTTTCTTCTAGCTCATTTTATGATACCTTCTGAATCAAAGTAATATTGCTGTAATAATGCTGATGTTTTTAAGAGCAGGATTTTTCCATGAAACTAAAATCAGCATCATTTGAAGTGAAGATTTTTTTTTTTAACGTGTTAAAGGCATAATAGATATCTACACGGAAAACAACTCCAGAGCTGCAGTGTTTCACCTATTCTCTCATTTAAGGATTGGTTCAGTATAAGTTACGACATTCTTGGTTGCTGTTGGGCTTGAAGAGCATAAGCTGTGAAGAATTTTGTTTTGTTAATTTTCAGAACAAATGAAATACAACCATGTTGGCTTGGAGCTCTGTTTAAGATAAAGTTTCAGTGATGTTGTAGTAAGCTACTAATCTTGTTTAAAGCTGCAAGCTAAGAGGAAGATGTTGACACTCCTACACAGGACACAAGAAAACTGGATTTAGTTTGGTGCTCCCTCACAGGCTTCTGTGAGACCTCATGCTTGTATCTCCAAGCATTTAGATGCCCAACTCCTCGTAGCAAAATTCATAAGCTGACTAAATGCTTTGTTGGAGATTTGAATATAATTATGTACAGATCAGTTTTCCATCTGAAGAATCAAATGAAGACTACTTTATTCTTCCATAGGGCTGTTATACACGGAGCATGTCAGAAGGAATCACCTTTCAGACAATTTTTACCTTTATATATAATGAAGTCTCACGGAAATGCTATCCACAGGAGTCCAGAAGCTGCTGACTGGGACTGGGCAATTTGTTAGTTTCAGATCCATCTCCACTGATTAGAAGGTGAAAATTAATTAGTCCACGGCTTCAGTGATGACAGCAGGGAGACAGAGGGCTATGAACAGATGGTTGTAAATGACCTAGTTACTGCTGCCTGAAAAGTCACGCAGTTGAATCTTGTAAAATGATCTTGTAGAATACTACCCTGTTGTGAGCAGAAATTCACATATGCAGCTTCTCTATGGTGGCTTAGATACCAAAACATATTTTGCAATTGCATTTTAGGTAGGAGTCAAGTGTGGTTAATTTACACAACTCAGCTAAAGAGCAATGGCACTTTTAGAAGTGTTACTCAACCACTTGCACCCATCCTCTGTTCACTTTGAGAAGAGTCATTTCATGATCAGACAGAAGGCACGGAAATAGCCAGTGTATTTTATATTTGAGTGGGGAAATATAATTCTCAAACGATTTTTGCAAAATTTTATTTTCCTGGAAAACCTGGAGGGGAGGGGAAAAGGAGCTGAAATAAAACACAGGGATGGTAAGTTCGTTAATGATTGTCTTAAGCACAGATGTTGGTGGAAAAGCTCCTGTAAGATTACTTAACTTTTCCAGGAACCTCATTTGTTTTGTTAAACCTTCTAATCCCAGTTCATTAAAGCTCTTAAATGCATGCCTGGCTCCCACTGAGTGCAGACAGGTAGACTGAGTGTGTCAGACAGTAAGTCAACCTTATGTTAAATTAAGATGTCATGCAATTTTTTTCACCCATTTTCTTAGAATTTGTGGTTTTTTTTTTAACTTTGAATTTCTTGCAGTACTGTTGGCCATTTCTAAAGGTTTTCCCTCAAAAGCCATCTTTTGTGTTTGTGCAGTAGATTTCATGTAGCTGAACCCAATCCTCTTTACAAGGTGTTTTAACTGAAGGTCCTAGGGCTTACTTTTTGTTAGCTGGTTGCTCAGCGTTTTCCTAAATCCATGTCCCCAGTGGGAATGTATCACCTTGTAATTCTTGGCCTTATTCTATTGTGGGAGTTAAAAACTTATTTGATTTTGAACATGAATTTATTTTCTATAAGAAAACATATTTGTATGTGAAGCCAGTTTCCATTTTAAAAACACTTTCATGGAGCCTTGGGAAACATATAAAAATGTAATGAAAATGCTAACTTGTCAGACCAGCATAGTCTTCCACATACTTCATTATCAAAGAAAGTCAAGATCGAGTATGCAGACTTTATCTGTAGCCGTGCTCAAGTAACACTAGTTCTGAAGTAAAAGCAGCTTCTCTTCACAATTTCTGAGCCTAAACCACAGAGTTTTATTGCATTAGTTCTCTGCTATTGATGGCTGTAATCCTCAAATACTGCTGCTAAGTTTCAGTTTTCAAAGATTACTTTTTTTTTTTTTTTTTACTGACAGAAGATTTAATTCTGAAATAATCTATATATTAGTGTACACATTCAATCATTTATTATTTGTTATGTTCTTCCAAGTACTAGAATTCCTTAAGATCTGTTAAATGCAAAATTCTGTAGCATTAATGTAAGTAAGGCTGTGAAGAAGCAAATGTTGGTCTCTTTTTGTGAAAAAGCTTGCGTAAGTAAGTACACTGGGATTTTAAATGTAAAATACTGGAGAACGTAATGATTGTGAAAGAGAATCACAGAAATAACTGTCAGTTTCTTGTCAGACATTTAAGGAGACAAGATGGGTGGTTGATTTCATTACTTGTGCAATGAATAGAGGTTAAAATATTTACTTGACCAAATACAATAGAAATATTTTGTAAGTGGTAAAAGCTCAGATTCATGCTTCACAATTCCTGTTGCACTAGACAAGGCATTTAACATCTGAGTAGCTCCAGCTTTTAGCCTGTAGATTCGAATAATATTAATATTCAGCTACTCTCATGGATGTTCTGCAGTTTTTAATTAAACAGACCAACAAACACTGTGCAATACTGGCAGGAAACCTTTGGCTGTAAGACTGGAGAGCTGAATGAAATCTTCTGAGTGTAATCAGAAAACAAACTAGAGTAGACCCTTGGTACTATGAATATTAAATAAAAATTCTGATCTTAAATAAAGATTACCTTAAAAATTAGCATATTAAGTCATGGTGTGGCAGAGCTTTTCTCTTTGGAGGAAAGTAATTGATGCTGTAGAGCAATCCCCTCGGGTCAGTTTTTTTAAGGTAAATTTTGGTATCCAGCTCTCTCTGGTCTGAAGGATTAATTCTGATTTTCTTCCTTTGCTTAATATTAAATAGTGCCAAGAAGCTCATCCAAGTGTACTCTGATCAGTACATGTATTATTCCAGGAAAAGTATATGCATTATTGATAAAGAGAGAATATTGCCTTTTTTTCAGTTTCAGTCAATACTATAAGATGTAAAATTGTAAACATAGAGTTCAGGCCACTAAACTCAGCTGAAGTAATCAAACAGTGTAAGAAAAGAAACAAACAAAAAGCTTAATGTAAAGTCATAGAAAGTATTCTCCTAATAAATAAAATACTAAAGTAGTTATATTGGAGTATTTGAAGCATATTGAAAGTGGAAAAGACAACAGAATGCAAGATATTTTTTTTGTTAAGCATGTCATAGAAAAATATTTTTCATGTTCTTCAGTTTCTATCTTCAGCATTTTTTTTCTTAATTTTTTTTTGCTTTAAAGCTACTAAAATGTGAGCTCATGTATGTTTTTGAGAATTATGCTGCTAGATCATGTGTCACCCAAACATCTGACCAGTCTATACCTAGCTTAAAGGACAAACCATCCAAGTCAAAACATAATCACAGAATTGAAATCAACAAAAAAAAAATCTTTCTGAATCAAAATGGTGAGACTAGTCAGGTAGGGTTTTATTCCATCTATTGCTATGTATGTGGCACAGAATGTTTGTAGACCAAGGCCAGAACTCAGACGCTGTATGTTCTTAACCCCTTCTTAAAGATATAAAAAATTGTCTTCTGGAATAACGCAGGAATCATAAATTACTATGCAAGATGTTCAGAAAGGAGGTGAAAGCATTTCTTCATTTACCCTGCCAGTTCTGATGCGTTTTCTCTCAATTTTTTTTGTCTAAGGAAAAAATGTATGCTGTCATGTGGGATATATTTTCATCTAATAGTGGGTTATATTTAATATACAGAGTGACTATTCTTCTTAAAAATACTAGATGGTGATGACAATTTCTATTGGCAAAGTATAAAATTCTGTAGTGTGGGAATTCACCCACATCCTGTAGGGGAAGAATAAAGGAGTTGCTTTGAGGTCTTCTGGCTTTTGTGCCCGTGGAAGATTTTCTGACTCCTTGGGTTCACAGAGTGCAGACATATTGACAAATGTGTGGTGATCTTCTAGGTACGCTGATAGGGAACGCAAGGTTAAGCAACTCTTTCTTTAATAGAGCAAATTCATGCCTTAAGCTGTCTGAAGTCAGTGTTAACTAAGGAGAGGCTAATTAATTTCAAACAAGGTTCAGAGCAGCTGTCCCATAGCTCCGGTTACAGGTCTGTTGAAGGCTGAGACATTGTTTTGTTTTAAAATACATGAATAATTTACTTTTCACCCATTCCATTGATCTACTTTTGCTAGGTCTCATTCCCTCTAAGATGGGTGCTGTGGTTGAATGCCACGACTCCACAGACTGGCCTTTCTCCCTTCTTTGACGGAAACTGAGGAACATGACTCTGTGTGTGCTTCTCCAATAGACACTGCTTTTTGGCTTGCATCAGGGGATAATGTCATTGCTGAGTTAGCAAAACTACACCTGAGAGGTAGGGCAAGTCCCCAGCTACTTAATCCATGGTGAGACTTGCGTTGTCTGTTATTCCTACAAACTATATTGAGGTTTTTCTTTGAAATGAATTTAGAGGGGACTGGAAGGAGTCACAGCTTCTGCGCTGCCAGCATTGCCAAAAAGTGAGCAAGCCCATGTTGCAGTCAAACTGATGTGCTGTCATTTTTGTCCTAGCCATCTGCAGTGGGTAAATTTAGTCTCTTGGTGGTAAGTACCAAGCTCACAGATGAACTGTGAGAATAATTCTATCGTTGATTGTTAAGGTTTAGTCATCATGTGATGACAGAATCTATTTAGAACGTTTCTTAGGGGTTAATAGATAAGTTTATCTCAGTTCCAATGTTCAGCTGAAAAATTAACAGTAATGCTGAG